ACCAGTCACATTGACATCGGTTGGGAATGCGACCACCTTCATTGGATCTGGGGCATGTTGTAGGCGAGTTGGGGACAACATGTTATTGGCAGCTAGATTGGGGTATTGGACAAAAGTGGATGGGACTTGATCAAGGTCTTCAAACACATTTTGATTATCCAGGATTTGATAGGAAGGGTTAATGGAATCCGGGGAAACTAGTGCAACACTATGTCGCTGCTGGGTTGCGGCCAGCTGATGTTCATTGGGGAACATCCTAGAATCCGTCTCGGTTATCCCAAACTCCCTAATAGCTGCATGTTGATTACCCAACATTGGCTTATTTTGAGGTGGTCTAACTGTAGTTTCAACCCTTTGGTCTACCTCCCCATGTGTCACCGGATGTTCAGATTGGACTTCTTGCTGTAATGATGGCCTATCCCCAAGATTACCTTGTTGGGCGAACTGAGATATACTAAACCCAGTTATCCCCACACCCCCATCCCCTTCATCCGGAGTTGCAATGGCTCTCTCCTGGTCGAGCAGGATGGCCGCAAGTGCTGCGTCGCGCTCGAAAGCAGCGACCTGAACGGGTTCAGCGCGCAAATGCACGGCAGCTTGTCCGGGTTGCTGGGTCATAGGATGTGATAGGAAGGCTACGGAACCAACATAGTCCCCTAAACTGGTGGCATGGTGCGTGTCGGAAACATCAGCACCCACATGGAGATTTTGTGGTATAGTGGGTCCTACAGAAATGCTGGGGTTTGGACTATTGCTTAGAAAAGGACCTAAGGGTAACCGATGCCTAAACAAACTATTGTTGTTATGGGACTCCTCCAGGCTAGTATCAGGCATTCCTTCTACATGCGTGGCATCCCCAATAGATTGAGCTTCAACCCTTCGTGGAGTTAAAACATTAGGTTCACCGGGAACAAGAGCTACGTTGAAGTAACTTTGGGAGGCTTCGGAGGGGTACCTAGATCGACTGGGCATACCAGGATCACGTTGGGGGATGTCTCCGGGCATCCTAACTCCAAGAAACACAACCTTTTACAGGATGTCGCAACTCAATTCAGATCCGACGCGTGCTTTGCACAGCGTCCCAAGCAACGGATTACAAACGACAGCGAAAGACCAGGCAGCAGATTTGGGAGATTCTGCCGCAGCACCCCCTTGCCTTCTCCACGGGTAAACAATGCCCTGTGGGAACCTTATGAGGGCTTGAGAAGACACAGTATTGAACCAACCAATCTATGATTTCACAAAGTTGGATAAAGGGTACAATAAAGTGAAAAAGATATTGGCAACCTTTGTGGAAAAGTATAAGCTATGGCTTCGACAGCGGTAATGACCCTGGCTCTGACCACAACTTAAAAATTCCGGATGCAAGCGGAATGTTGCAGGCGGCAACAAACCACGGAAAAAGGACAACGACGGACCAAAGGCACAGCACTGAATTAACCAACTACACTTTACAAAGCTGGATATAGAAAACGGTAGAGTGCCAAATTAATTAACAGCTTTTGTGGAAGATTATAAGCTGTGGCTTCGACAGCGGTAATGACCCTGGCTCTGACCACGACTTAAAAACTTTCCGGATGCAAGTGGAGTGCTGCAGGCGGCAACAAACCACAGGAAGACAAGGACGACCGGATGCAAGTAGCGTGCGGTGCACAGCTACCCTAACCCTTGGGAACCTATGTCGATTGCGTAGGTTCACCGGACTTGTGCCAGTGCCTACTACTGTTGGGGCGGAGCTCCAAAATCACCGCTGTTTGTCGCCAAAAGGCGGGCGAAGATGTTCCTTTGGCACGGCCCTTGCGGCTCTGCGCTGTAGAATACTATCAACGCCTTCTTGCTTGACCCACTCTTCAACTAAGGTAAGGAAGGACAGGGCACGGTCGTGCCTGCCAGCAGCCCTAAAACAACGGGCACCAGAATGGGAGCACTCAGCGACTACGTCGGAACGGTCGTCGACCAAAGAATGCGCACCAAGTTGATGAAGCACGCTGCTTTTCCCTTGGGTTCCACAAGGATGCTTTGCTAGGTGCAATTGCTCAAAGGGAAGGCCTAGGGATCTTAGTTGACTTATCAAGTGGTTCGCGCCTTGGCGGGTGGACTCAACTTTGTTAAATCCAGCGTATGAAAGGATATGGAACTCGACCCTGTTATTTGCTGCTAAGATTACCTTATTGAATTTATCAATTAGGTGTTGATCAAAGGAGCCTTGGTGGTTTAACGCTTGGTCAAGCGTATCGTGCCAATCGAGACAAATTTTGATATTGCCAGGCACTGAATCTACAGGGGCAGAGTAGGGAGCGTGCGAACCCGAAGGTGCACTTGGAGCTCCGCTTGACTCTTCACCCCGCTGCGCCACAGGTGCGGCAGCAGCCCCTTCTGCCTGTCCAGCAGTTGCTTTTGGCTCTGTTGGATCTGTTCCCAAGAATGCCTTTCCACTAGAAGCCTGCTCCTTCAAGTACCCAGGTGGCGCCTTATAGGGAAGGTGGCCAGGAGGTGCTTTAAAAGGGAGTTTTGGCTTATCTTGTGGTGGTGGAGCTAGCCTAGCTTTTGGCGGGGGAGCTCCTGGTCGAACACCCGGTGGGGGAGCCTTATTTGTTTTGGCCTTTGCAACAGTGACCTGTGGCGTGCTGGGAGCAACAGCCTCCCTAGCAATCCGTTTGGTGGTTGCTGACCAAGACGGGCTAACGGTACACAAGTGGCTAACGGTACTTAAAAGCCAGCAACGGTACTTATAACCGTGTCAGCCATATGGGTTTGACTGTCTCTCTCCCATGTGCATAGAAAAACAAGTAAGATATGCTGAAAACCAATGAGTTTCTGCGAGACAAGATCTGCCACAGCACGAAAACAACTGAGTCTTGTTGATTTAAAAGCTGATCTGCTGGTATCGAAGACTTATTGCACTCCTATATCTGGGAGTGCAATGCGCAGGTGGGAAAAAAGGAAAAAAGTGTGGGGGATCATTCGAAGAAAGCATCAGTATTTTGTTTTTTTGGCCGGAATCATCACCATTTGATCCAGAATCATCACCATTTCAGCTCACCAAATCGGTCCTCAGCTGCATGGGCTCGAAGTATGGAGCGCCACAGCATAATTCAACGGTTGGCTGATGCCATTTTTGAAGGGTTTGTGAAACCTGATGGGGGTCAATACCTTTCCCGTACTGGAACCATAGTAAACCAGCCCTCTCTCCGCGTTCGCAAAACCCGAAAAGCATTTGCTTTGGTGAGGGACGCGGCTAAAGAGGTTAAGTCAAAACGGTTCTGGACCAAAGCTTGCTTTCGTCAGGCTGTGGGTCTCATGATGAAACAGAGAGGCCTAGAGGTTCCGATGACTTCTGGTTTCAGTTGGCAAGAGTGGCTCAAGGAGCAGGTGTGCTGTTTGCACGACCTAGCCCAAAAAGCTAGAAGGAACCAGTGGCGCAATATTCATACCTCGCCTACTTTGCCATGGAACCCAGAGGAGCCGTTTTGGGGTCTCACGGTCGCTAATCATACCGTTTTGATTCTCATTGCATGCCCATACGTCTTCACAAAAAAAACTGGAATAACATAACCACGTGAAAGTTATGTCAATTATCACTGCCATAAATATCCACACCTTCACATACGAAGATTTATTTCGAAAAAAAAACGACGCACATACATAACAAGTTAGTAATAAAGATAGGCACACACATTTATATATATATATGTATGTATGTATGCATGCATGTATGTATGTATGTATGTGCGTATGTATGTATGTATGTAGGTAGGTAGGTAGGTAGGTAGGCAGGTAGGTATGTATGTATATATGCATGTAAGCATGTATGGATGTATGTATGTATGAATGTATCTATGAATGATGTTTGTATGTACGCATGTACCTGTCTTTCTTTCTCCCTACCTACCTATGTTTCCATTTTTCTGCCGACCTACCTTCCTATCTATCTATCTATCTGCCTGCCTGCCTGCCTACCTACCTATATATCTATCTATGTAATCATCTATCGATCTATCTATCTATCTACCTATCTTTCTTTCTGTCTGCCTATCTACCCATCTTTCTACCTATCTTTCTTTCTGTCTATCGGTTTTTCCGTCTTTCTATCCATCTGTCTATCTATCTTTCTTTTTGCCTGTCTTTCTATCGATCTATCTGTCTATCTATCGATCTATCGATCTATCGATCTATCGATCTATCGATCTATCTATCTATCTATCTATCTATCTATCTATCTATCTATCTATCTATCTATCTATCTATCTATCTACACATCTATCCATCTACTATCCATCTTTCCATCTTCCCATCTATCCATTTGTCCACATATCCACCTATCTATCTATCTGTCTGTCTATCTATCTATCTATCTTTCTATCTATCCATCTATCCCCCAATCCACCTATCTATCCACCTGTCTGTCTATCTATCTGTCTGTCTGTGTGTCTGTCTGCCTTTCTATCCCTCAGATCCCTGTACCAAGCATCTTTGCAAGGAGGTTGAGAACTCGCAGTGGAAGCTGGAGCTGTACAAGCAGTGGGATCCATCATACCCATCTCCTTGGGCGGACTCTTGGCAACAGCAAAACAGAAGTCGAACCAGTGCAACTGTTTTTAACCAGTCTTTTGCGAGATGATGTGGGACCATACACAAAAGCAAAACTGGATTCTGAACAGATGTTGTTTCTTGAATCGGATCCTGAACATAGCCTTCTTGTTGTTTCTTGAAATCCAAGGATGAAAGCATGGCTGCGACCACGGATGCTGACCCGGAAACGGCTTCTCGACCAACCATGTTTCAATGAAATCACCCAATCACGGAATTCTTGGGCTTAATTTGTGAACTATAGTGATCATATTTCTTTCCCAACGTCAAGGGTTTGCTGCACTATCAGTTTGTGATTTTTCGATCCATCAGCCTCATTCCAAGAACTGCTCAGCTTTGCCCAGGCTCGGATTCTTCGCGCTCCTACCTTGGAATTGGGGGCTGCTGTTCCTGATATCGATGGTGAACCGATGGATCACGTGGCTGCAAGATTTCAGGGGGTCGATCTACAAACTATATATATATATTTATGTATATATATATATATTTATTTTATGTATATTATATATAAATATATTGTGTGTATATATGTATATATACAAATATGTTCTTCGTTGGTCTATGTATCTATCGAATCTCATAATGTTCAAATAAATGTAGAAGCGCACTTGGAAGTTTAAAATAAAATGAAGCGGCTATGTGGCAGCTTTTGCCAAGAACTTATGGCGAAACCATTCACTATGTTTGTATGTGCTTCATTGCAGCACTCAGGATTCTGAAGAAGTTGGCAGTGACCAAAAGAAACCCGGTGAAGAGAATGTTTCTTAGCAAATGTATGTTGAAGCATTTCTCTTTGTATTCCCCTATAACAAATCATGAATACATTCCCCATCTGATCGTCCTAGGCTGAATCCACTGCTGCTCCATCCGGCGAATCCACTAGCCCTGGTGATTGGTCGACGGCAACTACTACCTTTGATGCCCCACTCGAGGGGGATTGGGGCTGGGAGGGCGAGTGGGATTCGGATGATTGGTGGTGGTATAGCATGCAGTTTGCCGAGTACATGATGGGTCAGGAGGATCTGGAATATCCCGAAAGTGAAACCCATGACATGCCAGGTGACCATCACATGCCAGATTACGATTGGTTTCCAGGTGTCGATTTTGCCGAACTTGAAAAGAAAGGTGCCATTGTCCACTCAGAGTCTGCGGGTTCCGCTGGAGATGAAGAGGTGTGCGGGCCGGCTGGGCTTTTCTACCACCCAGTGACTGAAGAGAATTTGGAGTTGTGGCCTTCCAAAGGGTGCACAGTCAACCAATCGGGGGGTTGGACAGCTCACTATGTGGACCATAGCGGTGGGGAATATACTTTGACCTATGTTGACCATGGGGTGGTAGCCGACACCAAGCAAACCACCCCTACACAAAAACCGGAGGCCCCCCAGAAGATCAACTTCACACCAGTGAACCATGAAGGGGCTGGGGCGTTTGTTGAGAAGGCATGGCCATCTGGGTCTGCTCCCAAGACTTCAGGCTTGCCCCGCGAAGACCCACCCAAACCAGTTGAAAGTGCCGGTGCTGATGGTTCAAAATCCCGTCCTGGTTGTTGGAGCAAAAAAGCCATTTTGGCAGCTGAGTTGCGATGTGCTTTGGGAAACAAACCTGTGGGGATTAAGGAGGAAGCCTTAGATCCCAAGATCTTGCAAGGCATGACCCTTACGGAGCACATCCACCATTGCAAGTTCTACCGCTCACCAGAAGATTTCAGGAGAAAGGTTCCCGATTCCATTTCTCAGGATTTGTGGCAGGAACTTGTCGAGGTTTTCATTGGCTACCACGCCTACAACTCCGAGGACCCCGAGGACCACCTTTGGACACTCCGACGGATGTATGCACGAGAGTTCCTAGACCAACACGGGCTTATGGGAGTGGTAACGGGCAAAGGGTTTGATTCGATGTAAATAAGTGAAAAATATTTTAGCTGCACCATGTATATCATGTATATTTGCATACACCGCACCTGTATATATTAACAGTTTGATTTCCACCTGGGAAATGTCAGGATTCTTTTAACTGAGGATTGGCATTGACGAGCCTTTGGTTTTCACGGACCCGTCGAACCACCCAAAGTTGTGTAAGGCTTGCATGCCACATGAGGTTTTGAAACTGTTGTATATCAATGACCCATACATTTTAGAAGTCGTCCGCATGTACATTTTTTGCCAGGGCCAGTGGAAGAAGGAGCAGCACTGGAACAAGTCTTTCAAGACTTGGGTTGAGTCTTGGGTGTTGGACGTTCCCTTGGCAATCACAGTGGGGGATCTCCCTATGGAGACCGTTTCTTGACATTTGTTCGTGCCAACCTGTCCAACACGACATTTATGCAAAGAGTTGGTTCAATACACTAGCTTAATGTCAACCACTACGTTTCATTGACAAAGGCACGAAAGGAAGAAGCCTTTGACCAGGAATTGGAGCGGGACATCGAAGAAGTTGCATCTTGGCCAACAGCGTGGATCAAGTTTCAAACAACCAAGATCCCCTGTAGTTTCACAACCACCTTGCTTGTTTATGATAATATGCCTCTGGTGCTTATTTGTTTGCCATTTTAAGGCTAAGAGCCTTGACAAACCCGAGATTGCGCCAGTGCCCGAAGAAGTACACCCCATAGTTGGCGAATCTACCCGTTTCATTTTCCTTGATGTTTCAGCAACCTTATCACAGAGATTCGTGAAATTTCACGACCACTTTGATTGGTTCTGCATTTTTTCCTTAAGGCCAAGATCCTTGACAAACCCGAGATTGAGCCAGTGCCCGGAAAGGTACGCTCCATAGTTGGCGAATCTACTTGCTTCAGTTTCCTTGATTTTTTTCAGTACCCTGTATCACAAAGATCAGTGAAATTCCACAACCACTTTGATTATCTTTGTTTTTTTGATTCAATTTAGGCCCTTGACAACACGCCCGAGATTGAGCCAGTGCCCGAAGAGGTACACTCCATAGTTGGCAAATCTACTTGTTTCATTTCCCTTATACATTTTCAGAACCTCGCTTATCATAAGCCCAAGGTCCCTGACGACAAACCCGAGATGACTGCAGAGGTGCGTCCCATAAGTTGGTGACTTTCCTTGTTACATGTGTTTTCGTTATATGTTGCAGAACCCTTTACTGCATGCCAGCTTCATTGCAGGCAGTAGCGCCGGCGGCTGGGGAGCCAGGGATGAAGGCACACCATTGACACACGTACTTTTGTATAGAAGTTTCTGTGTTTGGGCCCTTTCCTTTTCATGCAGCTTGCCATTCTTCAGTGCAGGGATCTGCACGTACCACGGCGGAGCCAGTCTAAGCCTCACCACCCTGCATCACAAAGAATTGTTCTGCCCAAAGTTTCAAAGGATGATGATAGGCTAGCTTCGTTTTGGCAATTACCATATAAGGCTGCATTCTACTTGAAAGACTTGCCCAACACTGCACCGACCAACGGGCTCCCGGAAGTTTTGGCTACAATGTGTTTAAGTGCAAGACAGCAGCCATTGAACCCTCACAAACAGCGTTTGTTGTCAGCAGCCGCGCGGGTTGCAAAGGTTGACCCTGGAGCTGGAGCAAAGCCCAAAGAAACCAAGGCCAAGGGAAAGGCGAAGGCGGCGTCTAAGAAGCCCAAGGACACTTCCCAGGTGAAGGTTACGTCCAAGACAGACTCTGATGAATACCAGAAAGCCTACTCGGATGCGAGGAAGAACTTCATGGATGGGTTTCTAGTCTGGTTTGGGAATATGTAAAGAGAGCGCTATAGGTCTTCCAAGTCTTTGTTCAAACTTGTTTTTTTTGCAAGCTTCAAGCATGTAGTGCAAACGTTTTTCACAAACGCGGGCGACAAAGTTTATATTGATCCATTGCTGATACCGAACCCATTCATCAATTGTGACATAACTTCACCAACCAGAACAAGTTACTACAAAATTAGCCATGAAACTTTAATGAGGCTCAAAGAAAGCAAGCTACCCCGAGCAGAGAAGGAGAAGAGGCATGTTTCTATTTTTGCCTCTTTTTTAAAAATACTTTCATCCCATGTCGACCTGGCAGGTGGGCTGCCAGCGCAGACAAGAAGGCTGTGGTCGATTCCATGCCAGAGAGCGAGGCCAAACGGCGTCGCTACATCAAGTAGGTGTTGCGCTCGCTAGCTTTGGGGTTGGGGGCGCACGGAGCATGACAAGAAGTTGTAAGGTTCACTCAAATATAGTGTATTCGATCCATTCTGTATGATGCTTGGTGCCACGCAACTGAAACTCCATAATCAAGATGGATCAAGTGTTCCTTTCGCTGTGCGCATGGGTAGAGCTGAGCTTTTCAAAATCACCTACTTTGGAAATCCCAATCCAAAATTCGTTTCAATTAGAAAGCCTGGATTTTTCAGTCTGGGCTGTGTGCCCATACCACGTGCGAACGTGATCACGTGCGGCTGCGATTGATCGCATCAAGAAGGTCAGGGGTTTGAAAAAGTTCCATGGCAACAGTGCAGCTATGATGCAAGTCGATGCACGTCACCACACTCTTCAATCCAATGCAGTTAAAGAAAGGTCCTGCATGGGGTTGGTCAATCTTGGGTACATTTCCCCGCAGCATTTGGGGAGTCAACTTGTAGGGCCCGTGATTTCCCGTGTTCATGAAGTTTAGCAACTTGATCATCCCCTTGGCGGCTCTGGTGGCCAGCCACTTGGTTAGCATGTCATCTGGGATGTTGGAAATTTTTAATCTCAACTCTTTTTGCGTTTGGCGCATACCGGTTTTCCCACATATGGAGTTCCTGTGCTGGGCCCAGGCTTTGGGGACGTGGCGCCTGATCAAGCGCTATCATTTCTTGAGGTCTTCAGCGGCCGCTCGCCCAAGTACAAAGGATGGTTTGTCGAACCAACACCATTCAAGGTTCATCATTTAAGTGTTGTAGGGGTTTACAGTGTGAGACCCCTGCAAGAATCCGTGCGGCCATGGTTGGGCCCCAAGTTGGGTTACTGTTCGCCAATGGAATGTCATTAGAACAACCATCATTTCACAAAACCATGCCAACATATGCAATCTGTGAGGCGCTGTCCGTCAACCATTCTTGGAAATATATTTCGGATCTCACTATATCCCACTTAAACTTTCCAAAGTGATTTTTGATTCTTGAAGCACCCCCCAACGAGGCTTCTGATGACTACAATGTAGTCATGCGGTACACCACCACGCCCAGGCGAACACGTCCTTCATGATGGAGCACTGGCAGTTGGTCTGCAATCGAGGTGCTTGGATGTTCCTTGGAATCCGAGAGGGCTTAGGGGATCGACTTATCCAGCTCTTGGATTTGCAGTTGGCATTTTAACAGGGATTCAAATCCTTCTGGCTAAATTTACACAAGTTGGGGGCTAAGTGGGGGATAAGATTATGGATAATGACCAGATACAAAGCGGGGAAATGCAATTGTCGGGCTGGAGAATATAGCATTCGTCCTTTGCACCCCTAAACTTCTTAGCCTTCTGGTAATGCTCGTACTCTGTATTCCAAAGATATGATATGAAGAATGCTATTTTCCAGAACGCCCAAGCTGACTGTATAATCTATATCCCTGGATAAACCTTATTTCGGGTCTGTGCCAACAAATGATTTTTGCACATTGTTTGGCGTATATTTTATCCACCTGCACTTGTTTGAAAATGGTGCCGATTTGATTTCAATTGTGTGGGTACTTATTTCAAATCTTTTGCCCAAATCAGAAACAAAGACATCAATCAGTGCTTGTTTTTTCTCCACATTTGTTGGCCCAGGTCATCTACTCCAGAAAGTTAGACATCACCACTTGCTTCGGCTTTCTTGTAATGCTGTACCAAGCGAGGCGCCTCCAGGCACATGGATGTGCCTGGTACGCTGTGCCTTGTGGATCCTGGATATATCTGTCCTTCAGCTATACCTGGACATGTTTTCCTCCTGTAATCAAAGACTGCTTGCCTTATCTTATTGGTTTAACTTCCCACGAAAGGTTTAAACAGCGGGTTCATCGATTGAATGCCTATCTGTCTCCGAAATCTTGCAGCTATGTTTTGGTGAATGTTGGAACCCTCGAGATCATAAGTCAGCCTGTAGCTGGTATGAAATCAAAATAAAAACCGGGGCACCCTGACACCTCATGTTTCAGTGCCAATAAAATCTATTTGGGATGCTTACACCCGAATGCGATATCAATTCCAGCCCAGGTCAAGAGGCACGACAAAGCGTGCCCACTTTCGTCCATCTGGAGATTCCTCGGTAAGATCAGTCAAGAAAGCCAACCAGATAGCCCGGCGCGTGGCATATATGCTCAGGTACAATTGGGCCAAAGGTGTGCATTACGTTCTGGAGAATCCCATGTCTTCAATCTTGTGGAGATACAAGGCGATTAGGCGTTGCTTACGTAAACATCGTGCAATTCGTGTGGTTACCTTTTTGGGTTGCTTTGGCGCTACAACACTGAAACCAGTATCTTGATACAGAAGCACTTTAAACTCCTTGGTTGCTGAATAATATACCCACCTATATATGGTTGGTTGTTGGTGTAATGAATATTAACCATCCCCGTGTGTAAATTTTGTTTGCTTCTGCAATGCTCGTTGGGATATGGGGCATGGCACGGGGCAGCTTCTACAAAGACTCTTAGCTATTTGGGTATATTTGGCAGATTGCGTTTTGCAATGGTTCTCACCAACAAAGAGATGATCAAATTGACCTTCTTCAAGGAAGCCAGTTCACAAGTCATTTGATAAGGAATCTAGATTTGAAGAATGTTTGTGTGGAGACTGTAGGATCCTCGGAGGATGAGCCAATCACTGTGTCGCAGCCACGGCTCGGTCTTCCAAGGTAGTCCTTTATGGTACAGCTCCATGGTTGAAGTCGTTGGAAAAAAAAGTGGGGCTCAACACAAGGCAGTGACTTTTTGCCTCTCTTGAGTTTGACATATTCAAGGTGGAAAGGGGTGGCAATGGTTTTGCTTCCATGTCCAAACTAATATTCCAAAAGTCGTTTTTCAGCGGATTCATCAGCATGTAGCAAAATCTTTGGGAGGCTGCGGCTGCACAAAATTCGCCGGTTCTTGAAAATACAAACGGTGAAGCGCTACAGAAACCACTGTGGTGAAGAGAGAATTGCCCCAGACCCAGATTCTTTCCTGCGACCCAGCTTTGGAATGAAATTCAATTCTTAGACTGAAGTCGAGACCGAAACCAAGGCATGATTCGGAAAAGTATTCTCTTGTTTGTCTGTTGGGTGAAAATATAGCATCTCAAGTCCAATAACTTAGGCCGGTGGCCGCGACCTAAAGATGACCGAAAAGTACCCGGGTAACTTCGGGCTCATGGCGTGCAGCTGAGTCAATTGCTCTTATCTGAGTGCTCCCTCTTAAATCCTTCATATAATCTTTCTCATCCAGCACAACCTCGATCAGGTCGGGTCCGAGATGCGTAAGCACATCGATGATTTGGCTTTTGGCCAACATGCTCTCCAACCTGACGAAGGGCTGCAAATGGCTGACTCCGGAAGTGAGTGTGATTCAGACTCCGGTCTTGAAGGGGTCGCTTTCTAGTTTAGCTTCGCCTTGCGATGGGAAGGTTGATCCAGTACAATAGTCAAGTGGCCAAACACCACCCCAATGGTTCAACACATATAATCACATATTCTGTGAACATCCTCCCGTTGCATATGCAAGGTAAACCTGGACGTGTGTTTAGACACGCACTGGGGAAAAACAAAAAGATTGCGCAAAATCACATTGAAGCCAGAGTTTTCAGAAATGCGTTAGGTTTTTTCAAAACTGTTGCGATTTTCTGGGGATCGTGCCGGACCGTGTCGGACCGTGTCCCCGCGTGCCACGGTACTTATAACAAGGGTTTTTCCGTGCCGGGCCGTGTCGGGGCATGTCCCCAAAATAACATTGTCACACCTCCAGATTTGGGAATGCTTTGGTGGAAATATGGTTTTTCGATTGATTTCACATATTAAATACATGCAGCACATACTCCGCAGTCTTTACAAACTCAAGTTCGTTGCGCGCTGGATAACATGGAACCCCAGTGCAAAGGTAAAGGTAAATGGGCCGACTGGGACCCCAAGGGCTGGGCCAAAGGAAAAATGTTGAAGGGCCTCAAAGGCTTGAAAGGTAAGTGGAAAGGATGGACAGGGATGCCATGGAACGGGCCTGGCCAAAAAGGGAAAGGAACCAGCCCATGTGAACCCTTCACCCCACCGACCGTTCCCTCATCAGTTGGTAGCGAAACGCCCACACCGAGCCCAAGCAAGATGTCAGAGGCAGCCACACCGCCCACCGCACCTGAGGCACCAAGCCATGCGAAGCAAACTGACCATACAGCACCTAGCCATGAACCAACTGCACCGGAGGCTGAGAAGCAAACCACGCCTGCAGCACCCGAGCCCGACAACAAAACCGAACCAACTCGTGAGGCTGACAAGCAAACCCAACCTGCAGCACGCGAGCCGGAGAACAAAGCCGAACCACCGCCAGCACAACCTGCACTTGAGGCTGAGAAGCAAACTGAGAAGCAAGCCAAACCTACAGCGTCAGAGCCAAAGAAGAAAACCGAACCACTTCCAGCACCAAGCCCTGAGACAGCGACCGGACTCTCAGCCACAGCCGGGAATCCACCGAAAACCCCGCCTGGGGATCCCTTCTCGGTTTTGAAAGGCAAAGGTAAGGGGAAGCTCAAGGGTGGAGAAGGAGGATCTACCGAGGAGCGATGTGCGTGCTGTGCGCGTGTTTTGCGCAATCTGTGCATCGATGATCTTTCCCACAAGTGTTTCGTTCGATAGGAGCCAGCGACCCCGGAAGTTTCAAGGTGGGGTTCGAACTGCATGGCTTTTACGAGAGAGAGAGAGAGAGATAGATAGATAAAAAGATAGATAGATAAATAGATAGATAGATAGATAGATAGTTAGATAGATAGAAATACAAACACACAACAGTTGCGTGCGCAATAAAAGTAAATATGTTTAATATATATGTATGTAACATTTATAGAATAAGACATTGCTACATCAGACACTGGATGACATAGCCGTTTAAGGTTGATAGCCACCCCCTTGCAAGGCCAACACCACCGGCAAGAGCTTTCACTTCTTTGTCCATGGTTTCTGACGGGGGCGGCCCGGAGAATATGTCACCGCTGGGTCAAGTTGGTGACGATGGACGAGTGAAACGGGTTCCAAGCTCAATCTCTGTATTGGTTTCCATCTTTTTTAGGCGACGGTTGTGCTGTCCCTTTTGGATGTGCTCACCATATGTCGTTTGAATCGGGTAGGTATGAACGTTTCTTCGCCGCAGTCTTTTGTATAAATGAGCCTGTTTGAAGTTTCAACTGCACATCTATGTATACAGTATTCTAATTATTGGTTCAACTTCCGTCGAAACCCAAGGTCAAAGTGTTGCCTGATGAGATCAGGGAGAAGGTTAAGGCTGACCCCTCTTGAATTCCATCAGTGGACAGTCCCTGGTATTTTGTCGCACGCGTTACCTTGGGAAATGGGGTTGGTGTCCTTTGGACTGTGGACTCCATGCAGGCCATGACCGACCCGAAAGAGTTGGATGCACTTTGCCCTGGCGAATCCAAACGCCAGCGTGAAGCTTTGCGTAGAAAATTGGACAGGGGAGGCCACACATGCGGGATTGGTCTCTCAACTATTGGGGGACAGAACGTTGAACTGTCCCACAATGAACACCGTTCTACACATGACCCGTTGCAGGCCTCCAGCCAGGACTTCTGGAGAAGTTCACCAGTGCCAAGACCAACGCTGAGAAGCTCATTCCTCAGATCATGACATCGGTGTTTATAGAAGGTCAATACATAGTTGTTGCCCAGTGTTTTGAGGTTCGATCTGCTCAAAATGTTCATCATGGACCCATCTCTGGAGTCCATCATGGTAGAGACGCACTTTGTGGAGCAACAATCTCAGCTGGTATTTGCTTTTGTGATTTTTGAACAGAAACAAATTGTTTCATAGCCTTTTCCCTGCGAGGCAGGCGAAGGAAAAGTCAAAGGGTGAGTGGATTGAAAAATCCCTGTGCGACCTGGAGAAGCAATACAGTAGTCCTGAAGACCGTGAATGGTTGCTGAACACAATCGTGAAGAGTAAGCCCCTAAGTTTTCTTCGAATCACTTTTTGTGTTTCCAAAGCAACCATTGGAACCTATGTAGGCTGTCCCTTGTAACGTGCTTGCTGAGAACAGCCTGGAGTTCCTCACCCGCAGGCATCATCCTCAATTTTCTTGCATGTGTTGTAAGGTACTTCGATCTCAACCAGCAACAGAAACATCAGCAAACTTATTGTCGGTATCATATCACCAAGCGTCAATGTTTGGATGCTTGAGGATCCTGAGAATCCCCGACGTCGCCTCTACAAAGTGTTTGAACACTTCAAGCACTCCAGCTGGGGCCCTGAAACTTTGAAAGTGGTGTCCCAATTCCTGTTGATCCCTTTCCAGATCTTTCCGGCCAGGTGAGAGAACCAAAGTTTGCGGAACAAGCATCACTGCTTCCGCTTCAGTCCCGAAGAACAAAGCGATGCGGGCGGCTTTGGCTGACCACCTCACAGGAGCACAAGCTGAGTTTGAAACGGCTAGCAATGCTTTTGTTCCCGAAGGGAGCTGTCCCAAGCCCAAGCCAAAGACAAAACCGACCAAGAAGGTGCTTTTCCATCTGTTGATATTCGCTCTCTTTCTCTAGTTGGGTTTGGGTATAGTACCCTGTTAAACCCACAGCAGGTGCTGACCCAAGAGCAGCAAACCAAGAAGGATTTCGAGAAGGATCTTGCGCAGTGGGAATCTTGTATGCGCACTGCACACCTTTGAGTTGGAAAATCAAATCGTCTTAGACCCGCTAAGGCTAAAGACTCTGGCCAACAAGGCCCGTGCAACAGCCCAGTCTTTGACAACTGCCGGTATCAGCAACCAGGAGGCGGGGCAACAGCTTTTGGTGGTTTCAATGGTTCAAAAGGTTTCATACCCATATGCACACTGTAAAAACGCGCGTGGAATCTATCGTAAGATTGCATTCGCCAAGATGTTCACATCGAACTATTATATTTATTTTATTGTGTATATATATATGTTTAGAATATATCAATATGTATATATATATACACACGTTTATATGTACATGGGTAACTTCAACTTAAACAGTTCTCCTATACTATGAAGCTTCGGTATTATAACAGCTACTGATTTATGTGCATTCTTTGCCCGCGACCGGGATAGATGAAAATTGCTTGCCCCGAAGGTGAAATAAGTAACTTTCTTTCGGGATACAACTGCTGATGTGTGGATCACCCCTTGAGCTGCATATCGCTTAGCAAAAGAAGTTTTCCTTTGTGTGTCTGTACGCGTCATTTGGTTCTAGATCTATCGATGTACACAAACAACTATAAAAGTGCCTATCTGAATTCATGTCGAGGATGGTTACTTGCCATCATTTGTGAATCTGTGAGGCAACCAAAGTCTCTTTGGGGGACGCTCACAAAAAACTTGACCAGATTCACCGCGAGCCTATGCCCCAGTTTTTCTTGACCACAAAAAGGAAAATACAACTTTTGCCTATGGATTGCCAGGATGGACGACATGGTCTTCAAGGGTTGCACGATGGATGAGTGCGTGGCCAAACTGAAAGCCTATGAGACAAGCATTCAGGCCCGTCTCGTTCAATCCAAGTGGCCCAGTTGGTCCACTGCATTTGGCATTCCTTAGATTTGCAACTTCTGCAGGACATGCAGAAGATCGTGGCCGATGCGGATACGATTGTCCAAAGCTTCACGCGCCGTTGGGGTCTGAGAAGTTAGAATATTCCAATGGACAGGTATATATGACAAGTATATAACTTTTCTCTAAGGCATGGCTGCAGAGAAGAGGAAAGCCGAAGGGAAAGCACTGCCCAAGAAGAAAGCCAAGGCCAAGGCAAAGGCTTTGGTCAAGGTTGAAGCGCCCCCCGAGCCGAAGATCCACCCAGTGGGTCCGGGTGGTTGGGATGATGACAATGATGAGGAAATGGAAAGCCCTGGCACTGGCAGCGCCGGCGGAACTGAAGAGTAGGTTTTCACCAGACAAGTGACACGTAGTTTTTGTCAACGCTACATGAACACGGCTTAGGAACAACAGGGCGATAGGCAGCTAAAGCTTGCAAGGGGGCTCTCTACCAATGAGAGTATATGTTGTGGCTGGTGCTTCACAGCCGACTGTCACAGCACACTTTCTACCAATTAAGTACCACTGGTTATCAAACTTGTTCCAAGAAGTTATTTTGATCCGGTTTCGTTTACATGTTGTGTGGCTTTCCTGGCCATAGCGGGAAGCAATCAGCTTTGATGTTGCGCTGTTTGTTCATGCCGTGATGTGACCGTGATTTGCTGTAAAATGGGGATTGTTTGAACCATGGGAGGTGCACCGTTGTCTGAAAAAAACATTTGGCATATGATTTGTCATTCCCATACCGCTCACATCTTTTGAATTTACTTTTTTGACGAAGTTTGTCTGGATGTTGAAGGGAAACGAATGACACAAACAATGGTCTCAAAAATCACGATCTAGCTATGTTTGGGGTGTGTTGCTGGAGTTTGAATATTACATTTGTTGGGTTAATGAACGTACCAGTCCATCACTGCATCTTTGTAATGATCCCGAAGCTACGACCCCAAACTTCTGTTTAGATGATCCAAACCGTTCTATACTTGGTACTCATGGTTTATGGATAATCTCCTGGTCAAAATTGCCATATCTGATTGGATATTTTGACTTGAAATAGAAAACAACGCGTCGCAATTTTCTGCGGGTTCACAAATAAATAGTTTTACATTTTTCCCCGCCATTGATCTATTTAGGCAAGATTCAATCTCACAATTTCCTGAATCACCACCAATCAGCCAGTCGGCCCCGATATTGCGCACTTTCCTGAGATGGCCCGAGCGTGGCAACATGTGTCAGGTTATCCCACTCACATTCAAGAAGAACAATCGGATGTGGTTTTACCATTGTATCCCACTGCAGTGTTTATTCACAGAAACTTATACCAACACCGTTTTTGGGTCGATGTCTTGCATAAAAGTGGCATTACAAAAATATTATGCTTCTTACCACCTAGAAAGCATACCAGTTCACCCAAGCCCACCAAACACCAGACACGAATATATAAATAGTCATTTCCATTCCAGAATACTTGGGGATGGTTCAAATTCAAGTCTTATGAGACCACAGATTTGTGTCTGTATAAAAAACACATATATATATATACATATATATATATATACATATATATACATATATATATATACATATATATATACATATATATATACATATATTTATATTTATTTAAATAGAAATATTTAGTATTACCCATCTAGTTCTTGGGGTACTCAATTTTGACTTATACCCATTTTTTCATCAACTTCCCGAATACAATTTTCCTCACTGTTGGCAATGGAGAAGAACATTGCGAAGATCATATCCGACACCGTGTCGGAGCTGTTCGACATGCTGGGGCAAGGAGAGGCCAGGGTATATATATAACTCCAGTTGCACAATTTAAGGGGTATACCTATAAACCCAAAATATTTTCCCCATTCAGGAATGTAACCCCTATTATGTATCAACGAACAGATTCGAACTCGGGGTTTAGCTGCACACTTTAAGGGGTATACCTAACCCCCAATAGCTTCCCCATTCAGGAATGTAACCCCTTTAGGCATCAATGAACAGAATCGAATCCGGGGTATATAGCTGCACACTTTAAGGGGTATACCTAACCCCAATAGTTTCCCCATTCAGGAATGTAACCCCTATTATGTATCAACGAACAGATTCGAATTCGGGGTTTAGCTGCACACTTTAAGGGGTATATACCTATAACCCCAATAGTTTCCGCATTTAGGAATGTAACGCCTGCAGGTATCAATGAACAGATCGAATCTGGGGCATATATAACTCAACAATTTAAGGGGTAGACCTAAACCAATAATTTTCCCATTCGGGAATGTAACCCTTGCAGGTATCAATGAAAAGAATCAGATCCATTGTGAGCCTGGAACTCACTCCCGTCAGCCAACCCATTGCCAGTCGCCGTGTTCTTAAAGACGTTTGCTGCCAAGGCCGCTTTGATGAAATGCCACACAGCCTGGTGCCGCAGTTTGCCAGCAAATGTGTGATCCCAAATGCGACAACAATAGTGCATTTTGCAAATGGGCAAATCACTGCTTCCAATAAGCTGAGGAAAAACATTTTGGCATTGTCAGCTGCCATCAAATCGAAATCATCCAGCAGAGGATGTGGGCCGGTGCTCTGGAAATGGGCCTTACAGCAACCATGGCGATTCTAGGTTCTTGTTGGAACGTAAGGACACGAAATTCAAGTTTGCAAGGATTGTTTCTACTCTGTCAGGTTTGGCATTCTGGGGCCCCATAAAAACGCAATTGCAACTTGTGGCTAGCCCAGGATCACTACTTCCACGCCCGTTTGAGAACCTGAGCTGGATTGTTAGAGCATTTCACTGAGTTCAAGCAGTGTTGGTATTCTTAGATTTCAGTGGCCAAGGATTCCTTTGCACGTTGACCCCTGGCCACAACAAATAACATTTTATATTTTTGTATTCACCCTTGATCCGGGCCTCATAATATTTGGGGTCAATGTAGGCTCGGTTGTGTAACGCCAATGACTTGAACTGTAAGGCTTGGGAAGATTCCCACGGCAAGGTGGAAAAGGAGATGAAACAGGTGATCTTCCTTCCCCATGAGATTCTTGGGTCTATGGTTGGAGCTGGAAGACTTGATTTGGTAGCTGGAACTTCAGACGCCTGACTATCAAACACCCAGATCCAATGTTTAGTTCCAATTGTTGAAATCAAAAATGAATGTTTTGTGAAAACCATGTTTGATCCGGGCTTCAAACCAAACCAAATTTGCGACACGGAACCATACATGTATCATAGCCCAGGCGCTCTCCATGTTCTGGAAAGACCTGGAGCATACGACTTGGTTCAAGAACCATCCTGTTCTGGCAGAAACTTGGCTTGAAATCTGAAAGTCAAAAATCATACCGTGCCCGAGCGAAGTTGAACTACTTCATGTGATCCATCACGCTCTCAGGCAGAATCAACCAATTTGGACTATGTCATCCCAGTTCGTTTCTACGGGGACGGATGTGAAGCTACACGTGATTTGCCTGAATTGCCTCGAAAATTTGAACTTGTTGATGATTTGTTCCTTATTTTGACACTTTTGTTTGTTCTCAAAGATCATGTACTACCTAAGGAAAACAGAAGTTCGAAATGCTCACCTTGATCTTTCCTGCCTCAGAGAAGAGCGCCACGCTTGACACACGGGTTCTGCAGCTTGGCTTTCCAGCACCATGCAATGGCCAGCACTCAAAACGAGACGGGTTCATCAAACAGGTTTTAGGTCTGCAGCCAAAGTAGAAATAGATGGATATTTTTGGTACCTAATCAGATTGTTTGTCAGTCACATCAGCCAAAATTGAAATAGAATATGTATATGATATGTTAAGCCCACGGTAAGATCTTTTTAATTCAGTTGCTGCATTGGATCCCTCCAGATTTGATTCGGCTTATCTGGTTTGTATTCCCATCCACTATATATAATAAACCCCAGAAAGCTTAGCTATCGGAGTTGTAAACCAACTTAGGTAGCTAAAGTGCACAACCCTGCACCAAGCTCCGCATTCATCTTAGGATCACAGTGATGAATGCCACCTACGCTCATGGAGGGGCCAGGGATCTAATTCTGGAGTATGTTACCTGGAGCTTGAATTGTTTAAGCTTCTTGGTGGCACCTGCACATTCAAACAAGACCAACAGATGAACCCGAATGCAGATCACGTAAAGGATTCGACTGTAAGGAAAGTGTTGCTGATAAAGCCAGAACATCATCAGCCAAGAAAGTCTGTCGTCACACTTGTTTTCAAAAAGCAAAATCCCCAACCAATGCTATGACATCAGCAGCCCTGCCAAGGTGAAGGAGTTTACCCTGATGTTGACCCTTTTGGGCGCCCGTTTGATCGGAACTACGAACCAGGTCGTGCTGCTTTGGCAGGAACCAGAATTATGGGACCATACGTTGCAGTATTAGAGGGTGTTCAGGCAGATCAGGATTTCTGCCGTGTAGCATTCCACCTACAGAACTACTACAGCAGAAAACAATGTTGTCACTATTGCGGGGTGATTCAATGGACTTCAAGATACCCAGCACCGGGAGAGCCGAACGATCCCTCTGATCTCTACACCAACTTCAGTGAAGACCAGAACCGAGGGAACCCAAGCTGTAAAATCGATAACTATGCTTTTCATGTTTCAAAGCCTTGTTTTTATCTTGGTTTGCAATGGACAATTCAATATCTTTCCTATTCTTTACATCCCAGGATAGTGGATCTGGCTACATTTGTTGCTATCAACGGCCCTTCACCACTGTGCAATGTGGTTGGATTTTCCCCTGACAGTGACTTGATCCAAGAACTCAGCGGTTTTTATGGCACCTTTCACTGATCCCACCCAAAAATCACATTGATGTTGGGGCCCAAACACTTCAATCCAAACCGTGCCATTGGCCTCCCATCCTGTATAAGGAATCCTTCCGGACGTGATGCATATCCTACATTTGAGCTTATACCCAGATGTGTTCTGCTGCATTTTGCTGGACCTTACGGACAACCAGCAAATCATCCAGGGGGCATCTAGAGACACACGGCTCCACACGCTGTGGTCTTCGTACAGGGACTGGTGTGAAGTGGAAGGACTTGGGCAAATAAATTGGTTTAATTATATTGGTTTCATCGGTCCCCCAAAAGGGATGAAGTATTTGGGGTAAAACAAAAATTTTGTTTTAGGTCTTGACTTCATGTTTTTGGGACTTCAACGACCCTGTGAGCCAGGAATCCAAGACAGGGCATCGAAAAAATTGTTTACCAATGAGACGTTGAACGTTGGTGGGGGCAAATATCCAGAACCATCACAAAAACTGGTGTCAGCCACTGCCAGCCGGTACATGATTCTGTGGATAGCTTCGGTGATGCAAGTCTTGTTATCCCAATGGGGCGACTCTGCTTCGGAACACATGCGGTACCCTGGTTTTGGAGAAATCACGCTTTTAAGATTGTTTGTTTGAACCCTCTAGTGAGCCCTGCTTTTTGGAGCGTTACCCTTTGATCACATCCAACACGGGCCCCGCATATAAGGTATCAGGCAGCAATTTGCTGCGCGCTTGCGTGCATGGAAAACACCATGAACTTCGAAGGGCGCGTCATGTCTGATGCGGGGTGCAATGCTTTCAAAAAAGCATACGTTGTATATCGGTGTGCGCTGAATTGGCTTGCGCAAGCAAGTTTAGAGGCATGCAAATGCAGGTACAGGTTGAGGCCAAAGGTCCACCAACCTGCTCACATAGTGCATTCTTATCTACCTCTGAACCCCAGAAAATATTCAAATTATTTGGATGAAGATTTCATATTTAAAACCAAGAAGGTAGCAGAGAAAGCACACCCTTTATATATGCCAACACACGTGATGATGAGATACTCAATCCACGCGTGTTTGCGCTGGTGGGATGGACCCTTCTAAGAAGGTCGGTGCAACAAAGGACGCTGCCAATCCGGGGCTGGAAGTTGCAATTGTGGGAAGGGGTGCGGAGGGTTTAAAGCATCTCAAGACTGTTCATGTTGCATTTTTGATTTTTGCAAGCGCGGGTCTCTAGATTTTATGGCTCAAGGAGGAACTTTTACATGCCTCGCTGAAAATTCAATCCATTCACGGATGTATAAATTCACTTTGGCGCATCCAGCCTCTAGTTTCACACGTGTATTTTCCGTGTCAAAACGTGCCGGGTCCTAACGGTACTCAAGTGAACAACGGTACTCATATATGCGTATGGTCAGCCTGTCTTGGTCAATCACCCGCTGGAAGCTCACATGTGGTCAGATTTGGGGGTTGATGCCGCCTCAGTTTATGATCCAGCGACCAGGCAGTATGTGCAGACGGATGCGCATGAGTTGTTGTTCCCATGTGTGGAAGCGGTTCCTATGGGTTGGTCGTGGGCCCTTTTTCTCTGCAATGAAGCTGTTTTGAACATCTGCCGACAGCATTCTCCGTGGATGGATGGTGTTTTTAGGGAACGAAAAGAGACTCCACAGCTTGATCAATTTCGTACGTCGCTTGGGGTTTATGTTGACAATATTGCCATAGTTGGCAGGGAAAAGTCGGATGTTTGTTTGCGGGCCAGTTGGGTCCGGGAAGCTTTTGAGCGTGCCGGCATCCCACTGACATGGTCACAAGACTCCCCAGTTCAGTCTCTGGAATCTGTTGGTTGTAACTTGGACTTTGTGCACAAGCGTGTTAGCAACAAGCCTCGTCGTGTTTGGAAATTTTTCCTTGCAACTCTGGCCTTGCTCAGACGTAAAAAGCTGAAGGGAAAGGTCTTGCAGATTTGGGCGGGGCATTTTACCTCGCTCTGCTCCCTTTACCCATGTGCTCTTGCGTGTCTGGAGCATATCTATAGGTTCATTGAAGTCAGCCGTGAGAAGCGCATTCAAGTTTGGAGTTCAGCGCGGTGTGAGTTAAAACTGGCTTGTGCTCTGGTGTGGTTGGCATGGCGGGACTTAGGTGCCCCATTATGTCAGACAGTTGAGGTAGGTGACTCTTCTTCATCTGGATATGCATTGATGAGCTGTCGACCGGGTCAGGATAGACTTAGACGGGCTATGGCCTCGCAGGAAAAATGGCGCTTCATTCCAATGCCTGAGAACCTTCGGTTCGCAGCTGCCAGAAAAGATGCTGAGGAGTTTGAGCAGATCCTGTTTGGAATGTTCACTGCAGCCGATTCTGGTGGAGGCCCTGGTTCTGTACGGCCTGCGGGTCTTTCCACGGGTTATGGGCATATGGTTATGGATGCTATGAGAGAAGGGTCATGGCTGGGAACGTCTGCAATCCGCTCGCAGTTTCGGGCGGCTCCTTCTAAGCGCATTGATGTTGACATCCCCTCACTGGTTGAACCTCTGGACAATTTTTTTGCTGACACAAACAATTTTCGCCTTCTTTGGGCGAGGCGCTGGAAGAATGTTGATGAGCATATCAACATCAAGGAGTGTCGTGTTGCTTTGTCCTCATTGAGACGTAGCTGTCGAGTTCGAGACTTGATGTCCCACCGAAAGCTGACAGTTTCTGACAACATGGCAACAGTTTCAGCGCTTAGCAAAGGGAGGAGCTCTTCCTTTAAGATGAATAAGTTGTGCAAAGTCGCAGCAGCTTTTCAGCTTGGGTGTGGCATGCTCTGGCATCTGAGACATGTGGAAACCAAGCGCAACGTGGCTGATGAGCCATCTCGCAACTTCGAAAGAGGGGCCCGTAACCGTGAACAGAAACCTTCAATGATAGTGCCAGATCCCTGCAGTGGGCTTCTTTCAGAGCCTAGCCAGTCGAGCAAGCAGGTGACTTTTGGTGATGCGGCGAAGGGGGCTGTACCCCGTGGTAAGGGCAATTTTTTCCTGGAGTTGTTTGCAGGTACAGGTAGGCTTTCAGGAGCCATTCGAGACTTGGGTGGTGCAGTGCTTGAACCGGTCGAGATCACGAAGGATTCAGCATTCGACCTTCGTAGGAAAGAAACTCAGAGACTCATTTTGAGGTGGATCAAAAGTGGGACGATTGGTTTTGTTCATTTGGGCACACCATGCACTATCTGGTCAAGGGCTCGTCACGGGGTCAAGAATACTATTAGGAACTTGGTAAGAGAGGCAGTTGGTGTTGAGCTTGCGTTGTTTTCATGTGAAGTTATTCTTGCGTGCAATCGAGCAGGTGTTCACTGGGCCATTGAAAATCCTAGGTCTTCTCGTCTTTTCACGTTTGAACCGCTGGTCAGAGCCATGCAGTCGGGTCCATGCTATGAGATCAATTTTGACATGTGCAGCTATGGTGAAGTTTACAAAAAAGAGACAAGCATTTTTTCTTCCCTTGGCAAGTTGCAAAAGTTGGAGCGTCATTGTGGACATCGACGGCATAGTGTCTGGCTCAAAGGTGTTACTAAGGTTGAGTTCCCTGGTGGTAAGCATGTGTTCACGAATAGGACATCGTTGGCAGGAGCATACCCACAACAGTTGTGTGAACAGTATGCAGCAATTCTTCATGATGCCAATATTTGCGTGAGCCATGGGGAAACTGACCAACTCGTCCAAGACCATTGGTCAGCTTCGATCAGGTGTTATACGCCGAAACGTAGCAAAGGCAACAATTCCGGCAAAAAGTGCCCTGTCTCGAACAGGGATCATTGCCAGAAAGAAGTCGACCTTGAGCTCCTTGAACACCAAGGGGGGCTCGAGCAGTTTTTCGACTTCATTGCCCTTGGAAGAGAACCGAAGCAAGCGTGGCGGTACCTCCAAAAAGCCAAGCCGGTGCTCTATCAGCAAATCTGACAAGTACCGAATTATTTTGGAGAGATGCCCCGCTGAGCGAGCCTTGCGAGTCAAACGAGTCAGGCCTGACACCATTGTGAGGTATGCTGACAGTGTGGATGATTTTTTGCAATGGGCGCAGAGCAAGAGGCTTCAAGTCAAGTCAGACAGACAGGCTGACAAAGCTATGGCCAGATACTTTGATCAAGTGTTTGAGGATGGCTGCCCCTTAACCGTTGCTTCATACACATTGTTTGGTTACATAGTGTTGCGAACTATTCCTGACAGAGCGGAGCGTGACATGTTTCCGCTTAGTCGTGCGGCTCTTGCGGCATGGCGTGGTAGCCGTGCTGGTGGGTCCAGGGTTGGAATGGTGCCTCAGGTGATTTTTCACTTTGCAGCATTTTGTATTCACAACAAAGCAACCGATGCAGCAGCAGCAGTTTTATTGCAGTATGATCTGTACACACGTCCATCTGAAATTCTGAACCTCAGGGGTCGGGATATTATCCCATCAGTGCATGCGTTCAACTCTCCTTGGGGCATTCTTTTAGGAAACTCTGAGTTTGAGGAACAGACCAAAACTGGCGCAACAGATGATGTGATTCTGTGTGACAGCTCGCACCGACAGTGGGCCAACAAGCTGCTGAGATGCATTGGAAAGCGTGTTGGACAATCTGACTCTCCAATTTTCAATATCTCTCTTTCACAGTATGAAAAGCTGTTTCGTGATTTCTCAAAACTGGAAGGTCTGAAAGGTGGGCTATTTACGCCTCATGTCATTCGGCATTCTGGACCATCATATGACCTCATCAATGAGTATCGAACATTTGAGTCTATTCAAGCTCGCGGTAGATGGGCAGCGCCATCTTCAGTTGCTCGATACCGCAAGCCTGGTAGACTCTTGATGACAGCAGCAAGACTTCCTGCAAAATTTCAGCGATATACCGAACAGCCACTCCAATGGGCTCTGGAACGATTACTTATTTTTCCATGGGCCTAGGCCAGTGCCCTTTGCAATTGGGGGTATGGGTCAGTTCTTTGGATGCGTGGAAGTGATTGTGAATAGCGATCGCTTTGGAATGTTCGTTGATGATTTGCAACGCCTGTGAGTGGACAAAGGTGCTGTCTCATTCTGGGCTGGGAAGTGGAAACGGCCAGCAATGATTAGCTTGCGTTTTTTGTGCAAGTGGAAACGTGAAAGCCCCATGTTTGTGACATTTTATCCTCAAGAGCTACCCTCCACACCCACCTCTCTCTTGAGGGGTGGGTCAGTTCTTTGGATGCGTGGAAGTGATTGTGAATAGCGATCGCTTTGGAATGTTCGTTGATGATTTGCAACGCCTGTGAGTGGACAAAGGTGCTGTCTCATTCTGGGCTGGGAAGTGGAAACGGCCAGCAATATATATATGTATCATATGTATATATATATATATTATCATCATGTATCATGATAATCTGATATTTCACAATTTGTGCTGAAGATTCCCCGTAACCTCCCTTGGCCAGCTTTTTTTGTTGCATCATGGTTTTTTCTTTGAGCATTGTTTAATTGACTATCATCCCTACTATGTCGGTTACCAGGTGGCATTTGGCAAGTGGTTTTCACCATCATGTGCTTGGAGTGGGTGACCACCTATGTGGCTCGGCTGGATGCAAGGGGTATTGCCTGGAATCTTTATTGTTTTTTATTGCTTGAAGAATGCGTGCTTGGTGATTTCAAATTTTGTGAAATATACGTGTTCCATTTAAGAGAGGTTTTAATTTGACGTTTTTTTTTGGTGAACCTTGCAATTGGATGTTGACTTCAAAGGTTGAAACAACCATTTTTTTCTCCTGACAGCTTTCATCACAGGCATGGATTTTTTTCACGAAGATGAAGATGAGATGTCATTCATTCCTGAAAAACCGCGACAGTTTCATATAGACATGGTCATCCTGGTGTCCTTTTAAAAACAGTTATCCAATGCAGGCTTTGATGTCCGGTGATGGTCATCCCATACAGCCTAGGTAGGCTGTTGCAGCCCGCAATGTCTGTAGGTTTTTTAGGTCTTAGCTGCTGATGGGTCCACTTGACCTAATACTTTGCTTCGTAACCCGAAGGCCTGTGGAACTTGCTATATTTGATTGATATCCCCAGCATATCCCCAGCATATCCCCAGCATATCCCCAGCATATCCCCAGCATAAGCATCATGTTTTTCTTGTTGTGGGGTTTACTTTTGCCAGATTGATGGTTAATATCCTACATGGATGAAGGCGACTATGAAGAACTGTGCATACAAGTATAGACAGACAACATAAGGTAAGATAAAGAAAAGAAGTCAGATAGTGGGATGATATCCATATTAGATCACCTGCGTCATATTATACATTATATATATAGTGTGTGATGTATACACATACATGGATGTATAGATAAGTAGATTGATAGACAGATCATCCACCTGGCAGAGGTGTGCAAACCTCCTGAAGAGAAGCCCTGGGACATCTTGGGCTGGACTGCGACTTGGCGCCATGCAAAGTTCGTCTACCATCCTGAAGAAGATAGATTTTAATGGATCAAAGTTATACCCTCTGGTAAACTAACATAACTATGGAAAATCACCATTTTTAATGGGTAAATCCACTATTTCTATGGCCATTTTCAATAGCTATGTTAGTTTACCAGAGGGTAATCATCCTGAAGAAGATAGATTTTAATGGATTTTAATATAGATATTCCTATTTTACTGAGGTTTCTTTGACATGTTTCAGATTGCATCTACTCCAGGATCACTATAAATGGATGGGGCAAGAACGGATAATAGACATGTGGAAAAGCCATGGTTTTCCCACTGATGATCTAGAAATGGCGGGTAGATTGATGATTCTATGGTGATAATAAACAACCATAGGGATGATAATAGGGATATCATTGGGATGATCATTGGGATAGTAACAATGATACTTATGATTTCATGGAGATATACGGTACCCTCAATTGTGTCCAAAAAAACATGGCTATTTGGGAAATCCCCTGAAATTGGCATTTTCGAATTGAATTTCCCAATCTATAAATGGAGGATTTCGCATTTCCATGATTGTTGCCGTACCAACCCTGCAAGTAACATAGACCCAGTCATGAGCTGGGGAGTCCAAGACCGCTTTCATCAAAGACATGGTAATTCTGAGGGTCTATGTTTGTTCGGGGCATGGTAAGCTACAAAAATGGAGATCACCGTATAACAAGGATAGTATGGGAATGTATGGGAAAGTAGTTGGACATATATCATGGAACGTGTAGGGATTTATATACCAAACTCATGACGATACAACGGGATCTATGGGACGATGTAGCAATGGAGTTATAACCAGTATAACAACAGTAATTGCATCAATGATGATCAGTGGTGGTTTTGTCTCAAAGTGCTTTTACCTACGATCTATGGTCATTTTGATAGATATAACATATGATGATTGACCAATCCAATGAAGTGCAGCCTACTCTTGGGTGATCATGGATCATTCTGGAAGCTGTGGATCCGCGGTCCAAGGATATCCTCATTGAGGATGAGAAGAGCATTTGGAATCAGCTGCTTGGGATGTAGGTCCCTGAGAATTGGTTGATAATTGGTTGATAATTGGTTGATAGTTGGTTGGACCATGAAGATTCAGCAAGTTCCATGTTGTAGATCAAATTATGGGGTACCTGGGAGTACGGTGTTTCCAAACATCGGCCATCCCAATCCCGCGAAAAGATGAGTCTGGCCATGGAGGAAGCACCAGGGCCAGTCGTGATCGGTGACGGGCGTCATACGTTGGCTGCAAACAAAAAAATACAAGATCAATACCCTCTGGTAAACTAACATAGCTATGGAAAATCACCATTTTTAATGGGTAAATCCACTATAAATGGCCATTTTCAATAGCTATATATGTTAGTTTACCAGAGGGTACAGTTTGGCATACAGTTTTGCTTGGAGATTCTAACTGTTGAATTGTTCATCCGATCAGATCAAAATTCAAAGCCCACAACGTTGCTTGAAATCCGATTTCGAGTTGGGTCCAGTCCCGTGTTGGCTGCTTAATCCCCGATTCAGATTGTGTAGATTCCGTCACATTCCATTTTGTTTCAGTTCTCAATTCCATGGAACCACAAATAATAGATAGGCTCAATTCCGTGTTCGATTTTGATCATTCTTGCAGGTCAACCGTCTCTCACTTTGAATGTTGCTTGCAACGTCATGTTTGTTGGTTGAATCACCATTTATTTGCGTGTGGTGTGAATCAACTACTACGATCTACCAAGTAATTATCATGTTTTGTTGTCGCTTGAACCTTCTCTCCACAGATGGGTGTGAAAATGTTCGAAACCCCCAAAGCACCAGGTCCCAGGTCCCTAGTTTTCCGTCATAGAAAATTGGTGTTCATCCGTTGTTTCTGAAGCCATATACCAAAAACCAAGCCATTCATGTTGGTCAAATCCAATCAAAGTCCCAAATGGTTCCTATCTCTGGTGATAGTCAAACTCCACCAAATTCCCATCTTGGTTCATGTTGAAAAAATCCTCCAATAAATTCGATCAAGTTCCTTATTCCCATATTGGTTCCATCAAACTCCATCAAATTCCCAAAAAAATCGCTTCCATCAAATTCCCAAAAAATAACTTTCATCAAATTCCCAAAAATTCACTTCCACCAAATTCCATCAAATTCCCAAAAATTCACTTCCATCAAATTCCATCAAATTCCCCAGAATACACTTCCATCAGATTCCATCAAATTCCCAAAAAATCACTTCCATCAAATTCCCAAAAATTCACTTCCATCAAATTCCATCAAATTCCCCAAAAAATCACTTCCATCAAATTCCCAAAAATTCACTTTCATCAAATTCCAAAAAAATCATGTCCATCAAATTCCCAAAGATTCACTTCCATCAAATTCCATCAAATTCCCACAAAATAAGGTCCATCAAATTCCATCAAAGTCCCAAAAATTCACTTCCATCAAATTCCATCAATTTACCAAAAATTCACTTCCATCAAATTCCCAAAAATTCACTTCCATCAAACTCCCAAAGATTCACTTCCATCAAATTCCATCAAATTTCCACAAATTCATTTCCATCAAATTCTATTAAATTCCCCAGAATACACTTCCATCAAATTCCATCAAATTCCCAAAAAATCACTTCCATCAAATTCCATCAAATTCCCAAAAATTCACTTCCATCAAATTCCCAAAAACTCACTTCCATCAAATTCCCAAAGATTCATTTCCATCAAATTCCATCAAATTTCCAAAAATTCACCTCCATCAGTTTCTATCAAATTCCCAAAAATTCACTTCCATCAAATTCCATCACATTCCCAAAAATTCATTTCCATCAAATTCCCAAAAAGTCACTTCCATCAAATTCCATCAAATTCCCAAGAATTCACTTCCATCAAATTCCCAAAAAATCACGTCCATCAAATTCCCAAAAAATCACTTCCATCAAATTCCACCAAAATCCCACAAAATAAGGTCCATCAAATTCCATCAAATTCCCAAGAATTCACTTCCATCAAATTCCATGAAATTCCCAAAAAATTGCGTCCATCAAATAACCAAAAATTCACTTCCATGAAATTCCCAAAAAATCACTTCCATTAATTTCTATCAAATTTCCAAAAATTCACTTCCATCAAATTCCCAGAAATTCACTTCTCACTTCCATGAAATTCCCAAAAATTCACTTCCATCAATTTCTATCAAATTTCCAAAAATTCACTTCCATCAAATTGCACCAAATTCCCAAAAAATCACTTCCATCAAATTCCATCAAATTCCATCAAATTCCCAAAAATTCACTTCCATCAAATTCCATCAAATTCCCAAAAATTCACGCCCATCAAATCCCATCAAATTACCAAAAATTCGCGTTCATCAAATTCCCGAAAATTCACTTCCATCAAATTCCATCAAAGTCCCAAAGATTCACTTCCATCAATTTCCATCAAATTTCCAAAAATTCACTTCCATCAAATTCTATCAAATTCCCAAAAATTACTTCCATCAAATTCCCAAAACTTCACGTCCATCAAAATCCATCAAATTCCCCAAAATTCAGTTCCATCAATTTCTATCAAATTTCCAAAAATTCACTTCCATCAAATTCCATCAAATTCACAAAAATTCACTTCCATCAAATTCCATCAAATTCCCAAAAATTCACTTCCATCAAATTCCCCAAAATTACCAAAAATTCATTTCCATCAAATTCCCAAAAATTCACTTCCATCAAATTCCATTAAATTCCCAAAAATTCACTTCCATCAAATTCCATCAAATTCCCAAAAATTCACTTCCATCAAATTCCCAAAAATTCACTTCCATCAAATTCCATCAAATTCCCAAAAAATCACTTCCATCAAATTCCATCAAATTCCCAAAAAATCACTTCCATCAAATTCCATCAAATTCCCAAAAAATCACTTCCATCAAATTCCCAAAAACTCATTTCCATCAAATTCCATCAAAGTCCCAAAAATTCACTTCCATCAATTCCTAAAAAATCATTTCCATCAAATTCCATCAAAGTCCCAAAAATTCACTTCCATCCAATTCCCAAAAATTCATTTCCATCAAACTCCCAAAGGTTCACTTCCATCAAATTCCCAAATGTTCACTTCCACCAAATCCCATCAAAATCCCACAAAATAAGGTCCATCAAATTCCATCAAATTCTTAAACATTCACTTCCATGAAATTCCAAAAAATCCCAAAAATTCACATCCATCAAATTCCATCAAGTGCCCAAAAAAACACTTCCATCAAATTCTTGCAAATTCCCAAAATTTCACTTCCTTCAAATTCCATCAAAATCCCAAAAAATAAGGCCCATCAAATTCCAACAAATTCCCAAAGATTCACTTCCATCAAATTCCATCAAAATCTCAAAATAAGGTCCATCAAATTCCATCAAATTCCCAAACATTCACGTCCATCAAATTCCCCAAAATTCCCAAACAATCATTTCCATCATATTCCATCAAATTCCCAAAAAAATCACGTCCATCAAATTCCATCACATTCCATCAAATTCCCAAAAATTCAATTCCATCAAATTCCCAAAGATTCACTTCCATCAAATCCCATCAAATTACCAAAAATTCGGGTTCATCAAGTTCCATCAAATTCCCGAAAATTCACTTCCATCAAATTCCATCAAAGTCCCAAAGATTCACTTCCATCAATTTCCATCAAATTCCCAAAAAATCACTTCCATCAAATTCTATCAAATTCCCAAAAATTCATGTCCAACAAATTCCATCAAATTCCAAAAATTCACTTCCATCAAATTCCATCAAATTCCCAAAAAATCACTTCCATCAAATTCCATCAAATTCCCAAAAATTCACTTCCATCAAATTCCCAAAAACTCACTTCCATCAAAATCCCAAAGATTCACTTCCATCAAATTCCATCAAATTTCCAAAAAATCACCTCCATCAGTTTCTATCAAATTCCCAAAAATTCACTTCCATCAAATTCCATCAAATTCCCAAAAAAAACACTTCCATCAAATTCCATCAAATGCCCAAAAATTCACTTCCATCAAATTCCATCAAATTCCCAAAGATTCACTTCCATCAAATTTCATAAGTTCGAAAAATTCGTTTCCATCAATTTCTATCAAATTCCCATAAATTCACTTCCATCAAATTCCATCACATTCTGAAAAATTCAGTTCCATCAAATTCCCAAAGATTCACTTCCTCAAATGCCCAAAAATTCACTTCCATCAAATTCCATCAAATTCCCAAAAAGTCACTTTCATCAAATTCCATCAAATTCCCGAAAATTCACTTCCATCAAATTCCATCAAATTACCAAAGATTCACGTCCATCAAATTCCATCAAATTCCGAAAAGTTCACTTCCATCAAATTCCATCAAATTCCCAAAAAATCACTTCCATCAAATTCTATCAAATTCCCAAAATTCATTTCCAACAAATTCCATCAAATTCCCCAAATTCAGTTCCATCAAATTCCCAAAACTTCACGTCCATCAAATCCCCAAAGATTCACTTCCATCAATTTCCATCAAATTCCCAAAAAATCACTTCCATCAAATTCTATCAAATTCCCAAAAATTCATGTCCAACAAATTCCATCAAATTCCAAAAATTCACTTCCATCAAATTCCATCAAATTCCCAAAAAATCACTTCCATCAAATTCCATCAAATTCCCAAAAATTCACTTCCATCAAATTCTATCAAATTCCCAAAAAATCATTTCCAACAAATTCCATCAAATTCCCCAAATTCAGTTCCATCAAATTCCCAAAATTCAGTTCCATCAAATCCCCAAAGATTCACTTCCATCAAATTCCATCAAATTCCCACAAATTCACTTCCATCAAATTGCATCAAATTCCCAAAAATTCAATTCCATCAAATTCCATCAATTTCCCGAAAATTCACTTCCATCAAATTCCATCAAATTCCCAAAAAATCACTTCCATCAAATTCCCAAAAACTCATTTCCATCAAATTCCATCAAAGTCCCAAAAATTCACTTCCATCAATTCCTAAAAAATCATTTCCATCAAATTCCATCAAAGTCCCAAAAATTCACTTCCATCCAATTCCCAAAAATTCATTTCCATAAAACTCCCAAAGGTTCACTTCCATCAAATTCCCAAATGTTCACTTCCACCAAATCCCATCAAAATCCCACAAAATAAGGTCCATCAAATTCCATCAAATTCTTAAACATTCACTTCCATGAAATTCCAAAAAATCCCAAAAATTCACATCCATCAAATTCCATCAAGTGCCCAAAAAAACACTTCCATCAAATTCTTGCAAATTCCCAAAACTTCCTTCAAATTCCATCAAAATCCCAAAAAATAAGGCCCATCAAATTCCAACAAATTCCCAAAAAATCATTTCCATCAAATTCCCAAAAAATCATGTCCATCAAATTCCCAAAGATTCACTTTCATCAAATTCCATCAAATTCCCAAAAAATCACTTCCATCAAATTCCATCAAATTCCCACAAATTACTTCCATCAAATTCCATCAAATTCCCAAATATTCACTTCCATCAAATTCCATCAAATTTCCAAAAATTCACTTCCATCAATTTCTATCAAATTCCCAAAAATTCACTTCCATCAAATTCCATCAAATTTACCAAAAATGCACTTCCATCAATTTCTATCAAATTCCCAAAAATTCACTTCCATCAAATTCCATCAAATTTACCAAAAATGCACTTCCATCATATTCTATCAAATTCCCAAAAATTCACTTCCATCAAATTCTATCAAATTCCCAAAATATCACCATCGTCACCATGGACTCTCGACATTCTCGTTAGCGTCCGAGGTTCGGCAAGGCGCAGTTGCAGGAGCTGAACAACGGGCGCCTGGCCATGATGGGCATCACCGGCTTGATCGCCCAGGATGGGTTGCTACGGGTGAACATGTGACTTTTGGAATGGGATTCAGTAGGCATTCATGGGAATTTCCTGGATTGTACAGTTACTTAACCCTGAATATTGGGATATGATGGGAATAGAATGGAATATTGTCCGGGCTGATTTCTTTAACATGTGATTTTTGATGGGACATATGGGTGCGACTGAAAAATTGGAGTATACAGTATACCACTATTGGACTTTCAGGAAGCCTATTTTCAGACAAATCCACATGGTGCATGTTGTGGGTAGCTCTCCCAAAATGACCGAATTCGGTTGAATTATGATGCAATTCAGCGAGAATGATGGTAATGAACGATATCATAAGATGTTACTGGTAAACCGGTGAAGGGTAGCTTAGTACTTGCGAGTACTTGAATCTTTTGCCAGATTGATTCATGGGAATATGCACTATTGATCTAGTTTTTTCTCTTGCAAGATATCTAAGATTAGCCATGGCTGTTCCACATAAACCTTGCCATATATATACTGCATTTTGGGACAAACCTGTATATATATATATATACTGCATTTTGGGACAAACCTGTATATATATAATTTATGCATATATATATACATATGTATGTATGGTTGAACATGGTTGAACTTTGGCCCGAACATTTTCAAGTGTTGTATTGTTTGAAGTGTTGACGCATGACAATATACTAATAAATTCTCTCAAAACTGAAGACGGATCAACATGACATCGGTGGAACCCGAACAAAAAAACTGGTGGTAAGGATGATGTGGTTTCACTTCCATTTTAGGTTCATGAAGCAATCCAGGTACGACCAGTACAGAATTGGATCACTTGCCCTCATTTGTCGTCTTCTCAAGGCGATAGAAGTGGGGCAATCCTTCCAACCAGTCGTATGTGGTTCAAAGAAGTTTGACCCGCAAAGTTGTACAGCTGCCTGACAACATTTTGTTGTTAGACTCGTATGTTTTTTAGGATTGCCATGCATATCGAGGTTTGATAATGGGGGAGAATCATTTATAAATGGGCCATGGTCCTTATCTATAAGTTAAATCCCCAGAAGGTAGTGTTTTGCTGGTGTTGATTTTGTACTCCATGATTGGGCAATAGTAAATTATTATCATCTGAATCCTCACCCGTCATCAGTTTTCAGTCGTATGTCAACCCCTTCCCTCCTTGATTCCTGTGCGCACAACTTGTAAGTTGGTCTATCCTGAACCAGTCAGCTGGTGTGATACCATAAACTCATCTGCTAGCCATCGCTAGCCTAGTTGTTTAAACCAGTTTGCCCAGCTTAACTTCCTGGTTATGCGGTTCAATTCTCTTCGTCATCCATTACGGCTAATAACATCTAGAAAGAGCATTTGGCAGATGGATATCACCCCCCTCACGTAGAGTCTATATAGATTATACATCCATTTCAAATCATTTAACAACGCTATCGGCCACTTAGCTTCTGCCCATTAGCTCAGGGGATGTTCCTTTTTTTGCTCATGGCAGAGATATCTGCCGTAGTTGGATGGTAATTTTTATTTTGGTAGAACATATTGAATATATATATATACATATATATATATATATTCATATATATATATATTCATATATATATATGTTCTATTGTAGCATATGTTGGATATACTATTATAGTGTATTTTTGTTTATAACCTTAGAGATGAACAGAGACTATCATAGGTCATGAATGATACTGATATACGAAAAGACATGTGTATATGATATATAACCTATTAAACCTATGAAACACCCTACAATGCGGCCCCATCCCCCAGTTGTAACTTGTTTTATAAACCCACTTGAGTATGTATATATATGTATATATGTATATATATATATGTATATATATATGTATATAGATGATATATATATATACACATACTATAGATATATTCCATCTAAATCATAGTTCACCTAGTTATTTGCGTCAACTTAGCTAAGGAGTAGGAGCACCACCTTATTGCGTATCATAAGCCATAGTGAAATTGGAGTTATAGACCACACTGTGACACTGACTGTGTTTTCTGATCTGTCAAACTAGCTCTACCCCCCTCACCCCCTCTAGCATCGTTCAACGATACAGGACGTGCTCTTTGGCGACTTCGGCGAGGCTGCGGTGTTGCCCTGCTTCGGCGCGGCTGCCTGCAAGGAGCTGATGTTTGGTGAATGTCCTGTTGAGTTGATGTATGTTCTTTGTGGCGCTAGAAAAGTGTATATTTTGGTTGGTTTGACTGAGTTGAAGCAACAAGAGATGGGGAATTCTGCAGTTTTGTGCTGTATTCCATTTTTCGCACTGAGCGATGTTTTCTTTTAAGTGACAGTGAGATTCTCTCTTTTTTTGGAGGGTCATACCATGCATAGATCTCATGATAAGTCATTGTGGATTGACTAAGAAAACACGGGATTTACTGTATCCCATTCGAAAGCTGAGGCTTATTGTTGGGTTGGTTCTTTATATGGGGATGGGTCAAAACCTCTGAGTTTTTACTTACGGGGGAAGAACATCCCTAAATCAGCAATTATTTTGATGTGAGAAAGACAGGGTACCACATTAAACTGACTCATAAGCAATTTCCCCGTTGATATAGTGTGAAATTATTTGTTTTGTTAGATTTGGGAATATTGTCAATTTAAAATTAGTGATGTTTTTCCAGAGGAACTCCTCGATAGGAGCTCTTTAGCCCCGTGGGCCCAGAGAGCACCACTGAGCCCTTTTTGGGGGCTGGCTTCATCTACCCACCCCTGGCGCAGTGACCCTGCATGGTTGCGGAGGTGGATGGTGGATGATTTTCTAGAATTTTGTGGAACAACTCAGATGATTTTCAGACAGTTTCTATGAATTTGTGAAGGATTTGGGTGTCAAACGTGGAAGCTGGGACGGTGAGATCATGGTAATGTGGATAAGATTAAACCTGCGTAGGTCAGGGGTGGAATAGTGCTGTGGCTGGGCGTCGTAGAATTTGCAACTCAGGTTTCTGCAAACAGCAAACACACACACACACACACACAGTTGTGAAGTAATTCTCTGTCATGTTGATGTCTGCGTGGGTCCAAATTGACCAACCCACAGATTTTGGGCATGTTCTCAATAAGTATTGATTATCTATTTTGGGGTATAGCCGACCCCAAAATGATAGAACAGTATATACATATGTATATATATATATTGTATATATATATAAGTTAAAGTCCTCGCAATATAGTGGCAACTTATCTTTTGGGATCTTGAACGGGTGCCCAAGCTGGAACTGCAGCTACATTTGGTGAATTATACTGAATTATATACTCACTGATGTTAACCCCAGATCATCCCAGATCAATTAAACCCTGAGCTGATCTGGGAATTGTGGGAGTTCAGTATCAGTACTAGATTGTTGCTATTTGTGGGAACGTTCCTAATGAATCTACCACGTCACCTCATTAATCCAAAACACGACGATGGAAAATGCGTGGACACGTACACCTCTTATGGGGAAATCGTCCACAAATGCGAGATTTTGCAGCCATTTATTCTTGATTGTCAGAGGTTATATACTGCAACAGTTCACCCTGAAGATTTGTTTTCGTCATTTCAACCACAGACAGCTTCCTTTGTGCTCCTTGTGACCCTTCTATGCGGGCTCAGGTAAATGGTGAGTCACGACGTACATCGGTGCCGTGCAGACGTTAGTGCCCAAAGCAGGGCAAAATCATCTGGTGTACTTGGCCCATCCCAAAACTGACCAAGAAACCCTAAATGATGCCATAAATGATGCGTCATCATCATAAATTTCGCGATCAATGTCATGGGCTTTAAAATTTATACGTCATCAGATGTTCCATGATCTAGACTTAAAGATGGGATGGCCATCAAAGTAGAAAATGATTAAAAATTTATGTAAAGGCTAGCAGTCGGCTCAAGAAGAACTGCTCCTTGACGAGCGGAGTGCCTGACTCGCCAATCTTCGACTTCAAGCCGAACAAAAAGCACGAACATGAAGCGCGGCACCGCGGTGCAGAATTGGCATCCTGATGTCTATCAAGGTCGGTAGATGCAATGGATCCGAATGGTTCGGATTGACATGAGTCATGACAGATTTGGGTTCGGGTCATGAGTCATGAGTTGAACAGTTGAACTTTTGCCACACCATGCGTGGATTTTTGGGTTTGACCTCATCCATCTCAGCATTCCGACATTGGGGCCCCTGGCGGCTCGATGATCGTACGCCCCATCCAGCGTTTCGATTGCCGGAGAACATGATGGGGTGTTTTCTTCCCCATATGAAGGTGTTTTATGATGATATTTCATGATATTTCCCCAGTTATCATATTGCAAATGATGGGGTGTTTTCCCAAATCCGATCCGGATGAGAGTAACAGTTGTGCAATATGATAGACTAGGATTTGGAGGTGTGATAGATAGAAATTAAACGAGCAGATGACTGTCACACATTTAATCAATCACCAGACCTGCCAAGCCCTCGACACGTTCCGACTGTGCTCAACACGATGGTGGCTTGACCTGCTGAAGGGGTTGTTCTGCCATGTTACCATGCACTTTACGGATATTTCTGGTGAGTAATTGCAAAAGGATGTGTGAATTGTTCTGATAATTTGTTCCGTATTACAGTGAGAGAGCAAATACGTTCATGATTGACGATGCATCAAGTGCAGTTTTCAGAGCACAGAGGTGGCCAGACTGGGGCATGTTAATGTTCCTGTCGCAACGCATGTAATATGAATGTAGCCCCACAAGGGACCACAGATTGAAATGTATATTATATTTATATAGGATTAATAATATATGTGTGTTTGGTGTAATATTAACCATATAGTTTAGTATTAACCATCTAATTATTGGGGTACGCAATTTTAACCTATATATACCCAGGGGGTCCACTAATTCATTGCCGCTTTCCTCCATTTTGAGTGGGTACGGGTCAAAAAGGCCGTGGTTTTTCAAAGCTGGACGGTGAATACCCAAAAAAAAAACAATCATAAAGTGACCGAAACGAAACGACCCTGGACACTGGACGGGTCATGCAGCTCTGGAAGCACTTTTTCTTGATCCCCCAATACTCTTGATGGTGCCTACACTATTTTAGTTATATCATGAATTTGTTAGCTACCAAACATTCAGTTCTTGGGGTCTTGGGGTACCGGGTACCCACAAAATGGTTGATGCTTCACGTGGCAGAACAGCTGGTCTTGTAGGTTATATTAATGGTTATCTACATTATGTAGTTGGTTTCGAATCTTCATTATTTTCAACCTAGCGTCCCCAGCTACTGTAATAACTGTCAACCAGCCAATCGTGTTTGGTTTATATTATATCCCGTGTTTTCATTGTTGTTTTCTATAAACATATATAAACACCAACCAGCGAATCATACATATTAGCTTTTATAGCTAATATGTATTAATATGTGTCATGGTCATAAGAGTCATATGTTGGATGGTATTTCAATATGTCACTATTATCATGGTAATACCACCACTAATGTTTTTTTTCATGACTCATGGGCCGGGATGACACTCTGAGGAGTCACATGGGATCCTCAGTATGGCCACAGGCGCGGCCAGCCCCATTTTGATGTGTTGCATGTCATTACTGTGCCATGATTGTTGAGATGGTTGCGTACTAAATATCCATAGATATCCCATTAGCAATTCAACATGTGCCAGCATTTCTCCAAGTTTTCTCATACATGCTGATTCTTGGATGCCCAATATTTAGCCTGGACATATTACTCCAGTAAATTGATACATGTCAAATGATCCACAATTTGTAGATCATGTTTCTCGGGTTTTCCGACACGTTTTCTCAGTGTTTTTGTATGTTTTCTAGAGGGGGTCATCAAATCCGATTCCATATCGCAGAAGAGATATTCCCATCATACTATTCCATACCGACAGATCCAGAAGTGTAGGTGTGCATGAATATACATTTGAATATACATTTGAATATACATTTGAATATACATACATACATACATACATACATACATACATACATACATACATACATACATACATACATACATACATACATACATACATACATACATACATTACATACATACATACATATCATATATATATAACATATATATATATATATGATATATATATAACATATATATATATATCATATATATATATATCATATATATATATATCATATATATATATATAACATATATATAAATAAATAACATATATATATATATATATATCATATATATGTAATTATATCTAGATATAGATATTATATATATATTCATTATATATTCATGTCGACAGGTGGCTTCGAATCCCTGGCATCGACGATAACGAAGACGGCCACACCGAGGTCACCGAAGAGCACCAAGGTTCTGCGGGCGACAGCCCTGGTAGCAACAAAAATGGTACTTCTTTAATGGGATCACCATGGATCACCAGCAAAAATATGGTGGTTGTATGGGATTTAACTGATTTAACGCACAAAGAGTGTGAAACATGAAGTTAAAGATCAGGGTTTTGTTGCATGTTTAAGCAACAAAGATGGTGGCTAATGTGGATTTCATCATCATCTGTAGGGTTTTTAAGTTTCAACCATTAAACAATGGGGGATGACTCCAGGGTACAAGAAGCGGCCCACAAACAACAGATAAGTTGGTCAAATTCACGAGGTTTAACGGGGAACCAACCCCTCAGGCGACCACCCCAGGTTGGGATTATTACAGGTGATGATTCGTTCGATGGCTATACTACCCACTAGTAACTGGAGATGATCATTATCCATGAACTGAGAATCCCATTCTTGACCAGTGTACACAATGAAATGGCGGTTTTGAACACTGCTCAGCTAAGTTGGTTTGTTTCGAAAGGACAACCAGCATTCATTGTGGTTTTGTATCTACAGTTGGATGGGTGAAGTTAAACCATTGGGTCCAGGTAGCGTTCTCAAGCCAGGCACCCGTCAAGCCGCTTTGATCGTTACCAATTCTGCTGGCCATAATTTATGGGTCCATTTTCCACATTCAGATCAATGTTCTTCAACATCAATCATTTACCATTGATAATCAACCCCATGGTAAACAAAATGGAGTATCAATTGAATAGCAACATGTTTCCATGGTATACTGGTAAACATTGATTTATCAATGACCATTCAGATCATGTTCCCCATTGTTTAGAATCATTTTCCACATTCAGATTGCTTCAATGGGATGGCGGCAGGCACAAGAGATCGCAGGGGACCCACTGGGCGTGGAGGCGGTGGTTTTGAAGATTGCCAGAGAAGTTCCATGGTTTTTTCCACAAATGATCTAGCAGGTTGGTGGTTTGGAACATGAATTTTAATTTTCCATTCCGTTGGGAATAATAATCCCAACTCATATTTTTCAGAGGGGTAGGTATACCACCAACCAGCTAGGAACACACCTTCAGTCACCCATCCCAGGGAGTGTTTTTCACGTTTAGCACAGGATATGGCCGAGTCCAAGCCCCTGGAGGGAGTTGCAGCCCAGCTGCACATGCAGGAGATGGGGCTGAGGATTTAGCAGGAATTCATTGTAGTGTTCTTGAAAAAATGAGATTCCACCAGCAAAAATTGGGGTGGCCTACCAACCCTATAAATGGAGATATTACATGATATTACCAGCAAAAACCGAGGATAGCCAACCAGTTCATGGGGATAGTTGATGGAATTTATTTTTATATATATATATATTGTCCGTTTTCAACCAGCGAAAATAAGAGATGAGAAGAATCAGAAAATTGGAAAAGCAAACGCTTTCTGGGCATACGCTTTTGGATCAATAAAATGGCCCAATATTGATACAGTAAGTGGAACATTGATGAAAGTTGCTAAGTGGGATATAATCTATGTCTATAACACAAATTATGATGGGACATGTATCATGTATCCAATCAATATAATATTTATATATTGATATTTGGGATTCCAGGAAATCCAGGTGCCTATTTTTGTAGGGAATTGCGCCATTGTGTACCATTTCTGGGGCCACTTTGTGGAATTGCAAAGTTTCCTGTTTCATCCATACATTCTGTATTTGTACGACGTGTTGTTTTTGCGCCACTTTACAGATTTTTGCGCTACTTTAACTCATATTTGAGCCACTTTTGAAATCTAGATTTGCACACTTTGACACTTTGGAGAAGTTGACAGACATTTGTTTTGTTGTTTTCCTGAAGGTGGCATTGAAACTTGCCACTTTCCAAAAAGTTGCCTAAAAAACGAACCACTTTGGCGTTCCAGGAATTGACTCAAAATCGGGGGGTCCAAAATCGGGGCGGTTGCGCAAAAATGTCTAGTTTATGAGGAAAACCATCATACACAGTAAGATTTTAGGGTGCCTTATTTTTAGATAGCCATACTGCCAGTTGCGGAATGGTTGCCAGTGGGTTATTATATCTTAGTAGTTGCGATACAATGGGTTTAGTTGCGAAAATTGTTTGCTATTTTTTCACAACCCAGGATCAAATGGATGCTGGCAAAATTCCAGAGACCAACAAAAATGGCAGACCAAGCTGCGTGGATGATTTTGAATATTACAATGATACCATGATACCATCAAATGGTTTGCTTCTGTTCGTAAATATGTGTGCAGTGAGTTTGCAAATTCTATATCCAGACGAAGAAATGATCCAACATAAAGACCAAATGATTGGCAGAGCTGAAACCGAGCCAACGTAAGGTAAAGGATAGTTGATGATAGTTGATAGATCCCCAGAATTGGTAATCCAAAGCCGATGCGGAAACTATGTGCGAGTCAGCAACTACGTTTCTAGTGCTTTTTGGTGATGCCATGACATCAGTTCTCGTGCTGTCGGAAAAAAGTTGCGCACATTCACCAACAGGATGGATAACAGGATCAGATCACCATCTTGTGCGTTTTATCAGATATCATGTTTTATCCGGAGGGAATCCAAATCATTTACCTTGCAATGCACTTCTACCATGGTGAAAATAATTTGGATCTATCAACACTGTCGATTATATATAATATATTGTTCCGAAATCGGCTCCCTTTTTGACTTCAACCGTTAATTAACCCATAAATTGGTTCATGTGTTGACTGCATATTACGGATCTTGCGACGGATCGAATGCATCCATCCCACCATTGCAGGATTTGATGAACCACCACACCCAGCAGCAAGCTCAGAGGTGTACTGCTCGATCCATTTCTAGTTGAATATGACACAAGCATGGACCGCCCCCCCCCCCAAACAAATGTTTTGATGATTCTTGCGGGGCCGAGAAACCATGAAAAACCATTTGTGGATCTCGTATTGGTATCTACTGCAGCTCACTGGCAAATGTACCACGGTGGAGATGGAATCTAATTTCGCCAGGATCATATTTTTAGTTTTTTAGTTTTTTTATGTTTTTTTTAACTATGCCTGGGGGGTTCTTATGGATGCCCAAGTCACCAGAGGTTTGAATACTAAACTGGCTGGTTGGTGGTTTGGAACATGAATTTTGTGACTTTCCATTCAGTTGGGAATTTCATCATCCCAAGTGACGAACTCATATTTCTCAGAGGGGTAGGTACCCTCTGGTAAACTAACATAACTATGGAAAATCACCATTTCTAATGGGTAAATCACTATAAATGGCAATTTTCGAATAGTTATGTTTGTTTACCAGAGGGTATACCACCAACTAACATAACTATGTCCACCCGGGTCCATGATGACGCCAGCGCTGAGGAAAGCCCTAGCGCAACAGCTTGGAACTCGGGGTGGCTACGGTGATGGAAACATGTACTCAACCGATAGAACTGAGGCTGTAATATATGGCTGCAGCTCAAAATGTAAGGTTACGATCCATACCCCGGGACCACATGCGATCCATACCCCATGATCCATACCCATGATCCATACCCCTTTAGAGGACATGATCCATACCTATGATCCATACCCATGATCCATACCTCAGTAATTGCAAATCCTGGGCATGTATTGGTTTTGTTTCTGAGTTGTACCTATGGGATTCTTCAGTTTCTGTTTTACGCATTGCGTTTTGAGTGAGGGGTCAGGGCCAGCTATTTGATCTGTACGATTGAATCCGATGTCACGACGTCGCCCCCGAATTAACGAGGCAGAATTTTGAAACCAGGGGATATGTACATAAAGTATCTAACCCTCTGCCTGTACCCGATCCCGCTTGCTCGCTATTGCTACCATAAAGGAATTTATGTTTGTGTTGGTATGATGGCTCGCAATCTGCAGTTTAAAGTATACTTGGGGTTGTGAGGGGTTATGAACACCACAATATCCACCAAATCAGCCAAGGGTTATTCACGATTGGTTTCCGTTCCAACAAAAGGATTGAATTAGATTTTGAATCTATCACCAAAACAATCAGCCAGAAATTTTAGAAATTCAGGTCCATTTCGTTCCATACCCCGATCCATACCCGTTCCATACCCGAATCATGGCATGTAGGACCCATCCCCCATCACCACCATTTGTTGATATTCAAGTCTATTCAACGAGCTCTTCTTCGAGCTCTTCCTCTGACTCAGATAGTGATGATTGAAAACGAAAGCAGGTCCTTGCTTGCTCTTCGTGCCCCACGGGTCTGATGAATATATTATATATGTGCATATGTATTTCTATTGTATATGTATGTGTTTATTTCTATATTTATATTTATATCCATGTAATTAAGCCCTTATGACAAGGTCCGGATCAAAACGCTTGCTGACAACTCCTCGTTCCGTACGTCCGGATCACCGCGGAACGATCCATACCCGTTTTTTGGGCCATACCCATATATATATATATTATATTATATATATATATTATATATAACAAAGGGATTGAAGAACATCACAGATTCTTTGTTTGGAAGCAAAGACGACTTGTTTTGACCAGCAAACAGAATGATAGGACCAGCAGAGCGGATGGACATCCGTTGGATAATGGGCATGGGGGTATGGGGATGATATTGTCCATGGGAATCTCAAATTACGACCCTGCCTTGAAAGCTGACGTTTGAAAGCATCAAAACTATGAAAAAAGGCCCACATGTTTTTTTCTCAGCACTTTGGGTTTTCCTGTTGAATTTCTGAGGCATGCCTAAAAATGCACCCCAAAGTGGATGGTTTCAGATGTTGAAACATGTCTAGCCTACCATATTTTTGTGATTCCCGTTCTAAATACAGCCGAAACCACAACCAAATCATGGCTCTTGGCTCGGGATGGTCCGCCAACGAGCTTCACATTCCAAGGTCCAAAAGGGTGAAACAAGGCATTTCGAGGCATGGTGAGTGGTCAAAAGGTTGTGGCGGTTTGTGGCGGCCCCAAAGAGATTGATTTGCCTCTAGGCCTTGGGAACGCTGGAGAGTTTCATGACGGGTCCATGAAATTTTTGGATGACTATACTCACTTGTACCAAAAAAATGGCGAACTATCATCACATATATACCCTCTGGTCAACTAACAGTTCGCGAACTGGAAAATCACCATCTTTTTTTTAACGGTAAATCGTAACTATTTCGATTAGGGCAATTTTTTCAAGTTCGCTATGTCTGTTAGTCATTACCAGGCCGGGTAATCACCCATGCTGGGATGGCCATGAGATGATTCCAACTCATCCAACAGGGCCATACCGGGCCATACATCAGCCATTTCTGTGACCTTTAGGAAATTGGATTGGTTTGAAGGAATAATTATAGGAAACCCATGGCTAAAACGCAAATAGTTAGATGTGGATGCTCCCTTAAATCAATCTCCCCTCTGGTACTTTAACATAGCTGTCGGACTCACCACTAAAAAACATATCTAAATCTTCTAGATAATGTATAAGTATCTATAACTGATGATAAAATGAACAATTTTCCATAGCTATGTTAAACTACCGAGCCGGGTAGTGATCAGTCCGCCCGAAAACGCAGGTTTCGTCAACTCCTGCGAGAAATCACAGGCGTTCCATTCCGTGGAGTTGACGAAACCCATGGACTCAACAAAATCACTGGAGAATCCTTAGGAAATTGCCATCAAAAAGAGGGCTTTGAATGGGATTTTCATGGGAATGGGATAGAATATTTCATGGGATATATGATGGTTGCCCTCTGGTCGAACAGATAGCAATTGGAAATAGATGGAGTTTTTTTTTAAATGGGAACATCAACTACAAATGGGAGATTTTCTTTTGCCATGTTTGATTACCGGAGGTTTTATCATCCATGCACAGCGGTGTGCACTAACTCGGCTCCAGGATATACCTGCAAGGTTGCATGCAGAGATGGGGGGAGATGGGGGTTGATGGGGGTTGATCATGCCAGGATATGCCCTAAATTCATCTAAATTCAATGTTTGATCATTGATGTCATCATTGTTCAAGCAAGAAATTGCCATCGGGCCATTGGGTGAGAACCCCGTCAGGAATGGCGGTGTTCGATCTCATGATTGGCGTTTTGGTGCTTATTGATACAGTCGAAGGCTTAGATGGGTATCCCCCCAGTCGACTGTCTTGGAGTTTGGGAGGCTGGGAAATCCTCATCAATATCTGATAACATCTATAGATGTAGGTTTTTTCTACGCTGGGAAAATCATGCAACTAAACGGTGGAGTTTCCCACTGTTTCCTTATGTGGGTATGGATCCATACCTATTAATACCATTTTTAGGGGGATGAACATCCATTTACCAGCTATTTTGATGTTCACCAGGGGTACAAGGTTTTGACCTATCCCCATGTTGTTGTCTTTCTTGTTACCGATCAGGATGATATCTTCATCTCTCAGGTCTTCGAAGTTAAGACGAGACGCAGGCTTCTAACTACTAGCTCCATCTGGCGGTTTCCAATATAGGTTTAAGCTGACTAATTTTGATGAATATATGATTACAGTACATATGATTACTATGAAGCTATGATTCGAACTGGTTTTATAGACTTATATTTTGTGTATGTTATGGTCACATCCCCAAATCAATGATGTTCAATTTTTTTTCCGGGAATATGATCCCAGTTGACAGATATTTGTCAACTACGAGAAGGGGTCGTCCGCTGGCCTTTTGCCTTCTCATAAACAGCACAGACTTTCCAGGTTTTTCCAAGGGCTTGAAACAACTACCAGCCGCATGGTCTCTGAGATGCAAAGACCTCACCTGTTTCAGCTTTTGGAATCTGGATGTTGGATTCAAACTCTTTCTGTGTCATCAATGTCCCCTTACCGAGATCCACAGTGCAAAGCCCTGCCGGTTGATGATTTTGTTGGGTGAAACCTTACTGACTGCACGTTTGTTTGGGGAGTGTCATAATCCATTTTTTAGGGCTGGGTATCAACGAGCCAGTAACTCAGTAAGCCCTTCCCTCTAACATGAAATACACCTCAACCGAAACAATATTGGATATATACTGAATATATATTTATATGAATATATATTTCATTTTGGGGACCCATATGGGGGTTATTTAATGTCAGGGACATGGGATTATGTCTGATTCAGAATCCCTGTGAACTTTCCAGCATTTATCGAACCACCAGTATCTAATGGCTACCATCATCAAGCATCTTTAAACCAACCAGTCCCAGAATGAGGGAAAATCATGGAAAATCCGCGGGAAAACCTTGCATTTGGAGGCCATGTGAGCCAACTTTCCTCTAGATATTTTATATTATTTTATGATTCATTGAAGCGACTGGCTGCACAGGCCTGTATCATCTTGCAGCAGGAATGGTACGGTGAGGCAGGGACCCCAGGGGCCCAGCTTTGCATGTTCATAGGGATTGATAGAGCCATGTGAAGGGATGTGTTCTTTGGATCAACCGTACAACATCTAACTTGACCATGGCACCTCTGAATATGATCCATATAATATATATATATATACACAGTAATTAATATTAATTATATTATATATATATATATATGGATCACATATGGATCACATATGGATCACATATGGATCACATATGGATCACATATGGATCACATATGGATCACATATGGATCATATATGGATCATATATGGATCATATGGGTCTACGCCCAAGAGCCCCTAACTCTGAACTGGGTCATTCATTAATGGCGCAAGTTTGATCCCTCTGGGGTCCAAAAAGATGGATCATGAATTGGGGGATGGTTTTTACTACCCAGCTTTCATAGCTTAATCCTCCGGCTGAGTCGCTAAACATAACCATTATGTTTTTTTTGGGTATTACCCTCTGGTAATGACTAACATAACTATTGAAAATTGCCATAGAAATAGTTGATTCACCTATTAAACATGGGTACTTTCCAGTTCGCTATGTCAGTTTACCAGAGATTTTGTACTACCTGAAAAAAGGGATTCTGAACAAGTCATCATACGAGGAATATTTACTGACCAACCGGTAGAATCCCATCCAATATTAAGCACCCCAGAAATGGTCCTAATTATGTCATTTCATCCGAAAAAAAGAGGGCGTGTTGTTGCTATTAACTCGTGGATTAAATATATATATATATGGTTTTCCCACTTATCCTTAATCAAATTCAGCCTACAATATTTTCATGGCCCATATTCATAGATTTATATTTTAATATATTTTGATATACCATGTTTTCCAAGTTGAATAGTCCATGGTTTTCCCATCTACCTTGACCATGACCCTTGGATGGGACACGCGCAGAACAACCACTACTGCTCGGCAGGTGAAGCAACACCTGGACTCCACCGAAATCTTCTTGCCTGGACTCCAGGGGAGGTTCAAGCAGCAAAGATGGGGATGGTTTAAAAGAATATATATGTATATAATATTATAATTAGATATGATATATATATATATGATATTATGTGGTATATATATATGATAATTATATATAGAAATGATATATATATATGATATATATTATGATTAGATATGATATATATATGATATTATATGGTGTATATATATATATATGATAATTATATATAGAAATGATATATATATATATATATGATATATATTATAATTAGATATGATATATATATATATGATATATATATATATGGTATATATATATATGATATATATATATATGATATATATATAATATGATATTATATGGTGCATATATATATGAAAATTATATATAGAAATGACATATATATATATATGATATTTATATATATATGATATATAAATATGATATATAGATATGATATATATATATATAGGCACACACATATATATATATACACTAGTATATGTGGCAAACATTGGAATCGAATAGGATAGAATTGGAATCAGTTGGATGCAATTGGATATATATATATATTACATCCAACAGTATTGCATTATGTGTTTTGTTGTTGAACAAGCGGGGTATACCCCCAAATTACGATCGTATAGATGTGGAGAAATGATGATAACACATGGGTTTGGGGGTTTTAAAAATTTAGACAAACAGATGTGATAGTTTTCTTTCTGTAGATTTGGTGTGCAAATCCTTGCAGTGGGAGTTTCATGTTGCAAAAAACATGAACGAGCCATGACTTTGCCGTTTAAACATGGGGTGAAGACACAAGGATCACTGTGCATGGTTTCCCTCGTTGGTTGTTTCACCCTATGACATCAACAATACTGAGCAGTGAATAATTGGGCCAATACTCGATGATCCGCATGATGAGGAAGAATTTATGGATGGTGCCATAACCGCCAGAACCATTCACAACCACTGGTGGGTGGCCGTGGTTTTAAACATGTTTCATTTTCTGCATTTGCTTCGGGATATGAGTATCCGACAAAATTATTGGCATTTGAACTTTGCTTGCCTTCATGAAACCTTCACAAACGATAGGGGACGACCCAGCACCGATTCCCCCAGATTCCAACACGTTCCCACAATCTGGAGTAGGCTGCTTTTTTTCTACAGCAACGACTACAAACAGGGCTGTAAACAGCTACCTCAGTTAGCTTTCTCTTGCCAAGCATATTGTTTGCGGCAATTCACGCTCCATTCTCACCGATACCCCAACCGATACCAACCCATTTTGGCAATTATTCTCACTTGCCGAGACCATGCCCCGTACTACTCTTACTGCTACCGCTTCTCCTTCCAGTACTACTACTACTACTACTACTACTGCTAGTACTACTACTACTACTACCACTACCACTACCACTACCACTACCATTACCACTGCTACCACTGCTACTACTGCTACTACTGCTACCACTGCTACCACTCCTACTGCTACTACTGCTACTACTGCTACTACTGCTACTACTGCTACTACTGCTACTACTGCTACTACTGCTACTACTGCTACTACTGCTACTACTGCTACTACTGCTACTACTGCTACTACTGCTACTACTGCTACTGCTACTAGTACCTGTACTACTACTACTACTACTACTACTAGTACTACTACTACTACTACTACTACTACTACTGCTGCTACTACCGCCGCCATTACTGCCACCATTACTACCGCTCCTGCTGCTGCTGCTACTGCTACTGCTACTACTACTACTACTACTAGTACTAGTACTAGTACTAGTACTACTACTACTACTACTACTACTACTACTAGTACTACTAGTACTACTACTGCTACTGCTACTGCTACTGCTACTACTACTACTACCACCACCATTACTACCACCATTACTACCACTCCTACTGCTACTGCTACTGCTACTGCTACTACTACTACTACTAATACTACTAATACTACTACTATTACTGCTGCTGCTACTCCTGCTACTCCTGCTACTCCTGCTACTCCTGCTACTCCTACTACTTCTACTACTTCTACTTCTACTACTACTACTACTACTGCTACTACTACTACTACCACTACTACTTCTACTTCTACTTGTAGTAGTACAACGAGCAGCATTTTCTATTGGATGTTATCAAAGAGCGAAAATCTTCACAACCGATAGGTGACGACCAAGTTTTGCCTGTGACAATTACGGGGAACAGATAAATTGTCCGCCACTCATATGATCTCTCTCACTGGTCACGTCTCAGATCAAACCCAGCATTTTCTACTATGATCTACTATCTACTATTCTATTAAACCTACCAAGCACCCTTCATCATTTTTTATATTTTCATAGCCATATTAAAAATCTATAGTACTAGACGACGGATGCCCGAGAGCGTAGAGGAGCAGCGTAGAGACACAATATTACAAACAATATATTAAAGATGTGTTATAGGCAGTCGAGAAGAGGAGTATCAAGACAAAATTGCAGAAGTGCAAGACAATAGTTTGCATCGCAAACACTTTTACACACAGAAGCTTTTACACACAGACGCTTTTACACACAAAAGCTTTTACACACAGAAGCTTTTACACACAGAAGCTTTTACACACAAAAGCTTTCACACACAGAAGCTTTGACAGACAGACACTTTCACACACAGACCCTTTTACACACAGACGCTTGTACACACAAAAGCTTTTACACACAGAAGCTTTTACACACAGACGCTTTTACACAGATGCTTTTACACACAAAGCTTTTACCCACAGAAGCTTTTACAGACAGAAGCTTTTACACACAGACGCTTTTACACAGATGCTTTTACACACAGACACCTTTACACACAGACACTTTTACACACAGACACTTTTAACAAAGACCCTTTTACACACAGGCTTTTACACACAGAAGCGTTTACACGCAGACCCTTTTACACAAAAACTTTTACACACAGAAGCTTTTACACATAGACGCTTTGACACAGAGGCACTTTTACACTCAAACACTTTTACATACAAACACTTTTACACACAAACACTTTTACACACAAACACTTTTACACACAGACGCTTTTACACACAGACGCTTTTACACACAGACGCGTTTGCACACAAACGCTTTCACACACAGACGCTTTTACACACAAACACTTTGACACACAGACACTCTTGCACACAAAAGCTTTTACACACAGACGCTTGCACACACATAGACGCTTTCACACACAAACGCCTTTACACACAAACACTTTTACACACAGACACTTTTACACACAGACGCTTTTACACACAGACGCTTTTACACACAGACGCGTTTATACACAGACGCGTTTACACACAGACGCTTTTACATACAGACGCTTTGACCCTTTTACACACAAACGCTTGCACGCACACAAAAGCTTTTACACACAGACGCTTTTACACACAGACTCTTTTACACACAGACGCTTTTACACACAGACGCTTTTACACACAGATGCTTTTACACACAGGCTTTTACACACAGAAGCGTTTACACGCAGACCCTTTTACACACAAAAACTTTTACACACAGAAGCTTTTACACATAGACACTTTTGCACACAAAAGCTTTCACACACAGACGCTTGCACACACACACAAACGCTTTCACACACAAACGCCTTTACACACAAACACTTTTACACACAGACACTTTTGCACACAAAAGATTTTACACACAGACGCTTGCACACACACAAACGCTTTCACACACAAACGCCTTTACACACAAACACTTTTACACACAGACACTCAGTTTTCGACGATCGAACCTCGTTTCGTGCGAAAGGGTTGCGGCGGACACCTTGAAATCGCCATTTTACCACAGTTTTTGACGATCGAACCTCATTTCGTGTGCAAGGGTTGCGCGGGACAAGTAGAAATCGCAATTTTACCTCAGTTTTTGACGATCGAACCTCATTTCGTGCGCAAGGGTTGCGCGGGACAAGTAGAAATCGCAATTTTACCTCACAGTTTTTGACGATCGAACATCATTTCGTGCGAAAGGGTTCGCGGGACAAGTGAACTCGCACTTTTACCTCAGTTTTTGACGATCGAACATCATTTCGTGCGAAAGGGTTCGCGGGACAAGTGAACTCGCAATTTTACCTCAGTTTTTGACGATCGAACCTCGTTTCGTGCGAAAAGGTTGCGGCGGACACCTTGAACTCGCAATTTTACCTCAGTTTTTGACGATCGAACCTCGTTTCGTGGGAAAGGGTTGCGCGGGACGACTTGAACTCGCACTTTTACCTCATTTTTTGGCGATCGAACCTCATTTCGTGCGCAAGGGTTGCGCGGGACAAGTAGAAATCGCAATTTTACCTCACAGTTTTTGACGATCGAACCTCATTTCGTGCGCAAGGGTTGCGCGGGACCGGTGGAAATCGCAATTTTACCTCACAGTTTTTGGCGATCGAACCTCATTTCGTGCGAAAGGGTTGCGTTTCGTCCCGTCTCGTTGGCACTGCCCCTGCTCCCGCCTTCGAAAGAGAAATAGAAAAGAAGGAGAGGGCAAGAGGGCAAGAGGACAAGAGGGCAAGAGGAGAAGATGTGAGATGAGAAGATGTGAAGATGAGAAGATGTGAGGATGAGAAGATGTGAAGATGAGAAGATGTGAAGATGAGAAGATGTGAAGCTGAGAAGATGAGGAGAAGATGTGAGGATGAGAAGATGAGAAGATGAGGAGAAGATGAGGAGAAGATGTGAAGACGAGAAGATGTGAAGATGAGAAGATGAGGAGAAGATGAGACGATGAGGAGAAGATGAGAAGATGAGAAGATGAGAAGATGAGGAGAAGATGTGAGGATGAGAAGATGTGAGGATGAGAAGATGTGAAGATGAGAAGATGTGAAGATGAGAAGATGTGAAGCTGAGAAGATGAGGAGAAGATGTGAGGATGAGAAGATGAGAAGATGAGGAGAAGATGAGGAGAAGATGTGAAGATGAGAAGATGTGAAGATGTTTTACAGGCCCCCACTATTGGAAGAACCCTGCGCTCAGACGCTCTCGGGAAAAATGGTACCTATGATCAATAATAGCATCTTAATTGATCATAGTAAAACTTTTTTCCATATTCTATCTACTCCAGAGCCAAGGCGTGGTGTCTCGGTGGCCATTACCACGGCATTTGCAGTGGAGCTCACAGCTCGGGGACCCGTTGTTTGGTTGGAAATCTAATTTGCTGATAGTGATAATGGCAGTAACGATAGTACTGCAATCGAATCAATACCAGCTGTAACAATAGTCAGAGCACTAGTATTAGCATTAGTAGTAGTAGTAGTAGTAGCAGTAGTAGTAGTAGCAGCAGTAGCAGTAGCAACAGTAGTAGTAGTAGTAGTAGTAGTAGTGGTAGTAGTAGTAGTAGTAGTAGTAGCATTAGTAGTAGTAGTAGTGGTAGTAGTAGTAGTAGTAGGAGTAGTAGTAGTAGTAGTAGCAACAGTAGTAGTAATAGTAGTAGTCGTCGTCGTCGTTGTCGTCGTCGTCGTCGTAGTGGTAGTAGTAGTAGTAGTAGTAGTAGTAGTAGTACTAGCAGTAGTAGTAGTAGTAGTACTAGCAGTAGTACTAGCAGCAGCAGCAGCAGGAGGAGGAGGAGTAGTAGTAGTAGCAGTAGTAGTAGTAGTACTAGCAGTAGTACTAGCAGCAGCAGCAGGAGGAGGAGGAGTAGTAGTAGTAGTAGGAGGAGGAGTAGTAGTAGTAGTAGTAGCGCAGTATTAGCAGTAGTAGCAGTAGTAGCAGTAGTAGCAGTAGTAGCAGTAGTAGCAGTAGTAGCAGTAGCAGTAGTAGCAGTAGTAGCAGTAGTGGTAGTAGTAGTAGTAGTACTAGTTGTAGTAGTACGTAGCAGTAGTAGCAGTACGTAGCAGTAGGAGCAGTACGTAGCAGTGCGTAGCAGTACGTAGCAGTACGTAGCAGTACGTAGCAGTACGTAGCAGTACGTAGCAGTACGTAGCAGTAGCAGAAGCAGTACGTAGCAGTACGTAGCAGTACGTAGCAGTACGATGCAGTAAGTAGCAGTACGTAGCAGTAGCAGTACTTAGCAGTAGCAGTACGATGCAGTAAGTAGCAGTACGTAGCAGTAGCAGTAGCAGTACGTAGCAGTAGCAGTACATAGCAGTAGCAGTACGTAGCAGTACGTAGCAGCACGTAGCAGTACGTAGCAGCTCGTAGCAGTACGTAGCAGTAGCAGTACGTAGCAGTACGTAGCAGCAGCAGTACGTAGCAGTAGCAGCAGCAGCAGCAGCAGTAGTAGTAGTAGTATAGGAGGTGTCAGAATTGCAATAGCAATTACCCCGGGATTCCATCGGGGATATAAAACCACCAATGGCATGGGATTCTTATAAGGGAATATCATTATGACTATTAGGATGAGGCTTGGAAGTGGGTTGCCATATCAACCAAGGGGTGAAATGGCCAATGTTCTTCCCTTGTGGCTATCATTCCTCTACAATGGTTTGGAACATTTTGGATTTAGATTTGACTAGCACTTTCAGTAAGCATCAAACATTTGGAGGTTATCTGACAATGATACTGATAATGATAACGCTGATAATTGATAATAAGAGTGATTTCAATCATCAACGGAAATATGCATTACCACTGATTAGCTATCAAACAGGATACTTATCATTTGTACTGATTTGATATTATAATTATGAGATCAATGGCCACTTCAGGTACCTAAATTGGAGGTACCTACCATATATAGGGCCTGTGTAAGGGCCTAAGGGCTATCTATGTAAGGGGATATACATCCAAAATATGGCTTTATATGGTACAGTACCTCCATTTTAGGATCCTGGAATTCCCATTGATGAGATACTCCATTATTTGACAACTCCATGGAGATCAATGGAGATCTACTTGATACGCAATCCATGATTTTCCCATGAAACGTGCAGGAACAGGCCCAAACTTTGCTCTGTTTGAGCAACAAATTATGGCCACTCAACCTCCAAAAGCAGGGGTAATTGGTTGGAATTGGTGAAGGGTTGTTGTTTTTTTTGCCATACATGGGGGAAGATGACAGTCCGCTCGAAACAAACATGGAAAGCCATGGATTGCATCTAAGATTCGAGCGGCTCCAGAGGTGAGCGCACATGAGTGGATTCGGTTGATTGGTATTATCCTTTGGTTATTTACCATAGCTATGGAAAATTGCAATTTTTAACTAGGTACATCATCTATAAATGGGTCATTTTCCATAGCTATGTTGAATAACCAGACGGTAAATAATTATATAATATTATATATATATATATCATCCCAACAAGGTTCAACTGTATATACATGTCTATGTACATTCCGATGAATGTTGATGAATCTTGATTCATGTTGACGAGTTGATGTAGATCTTGGGAATTTCAACATTCCTAATGATCAAGAATTGACATGAGGGGTTCTAATCGCTAAATCATTGGGGTCAACTACCATAGATGTGGAAAAACCATGGAAAGTCATGGTTTCCCTAGGAAAACAATCTACAAATACTGGGTAAACACCACATCAAAGTGTTTCGATTTCAGCTAGCAGGCGAGATGCCTGGCTCAAGTCGGCCTTGGTTGGTCCTGGTCCTCGACCCAGCTGGGATAAAAGAAGACATGGTGATTTCCATCACGATTTCGTGGGGTGTTTAATGGGATTTCCAATGGACCCAATGGCTACAATCGGGGTGATTAACATCTGGAAATCCAGCAGTTTCAAATTTGGGTTGACAGAGTTTTGGCAAAATAGAAACTGCAACTACCCACTTATTATTTGCAGTAGCTTAAGATGGGATATCTCAACTAATCACTTTAAGTACAGTAACTCCACAGAAACTTAACAAAAAATGCTGTCAGTAATTTGACATGGTGACCTCTTCAGAACTTCACATCCTTCTATTGTACCCTCCAGTAGGTCAACATAGATATGGAACTGCCACCGCCACCATTACCATTTGCCCAGCGTGTCAAAGACTTGAGCTGATATCATTGACCTATATTATATCCATATCTATCCATATGTACATATATACCTATTCTATATGTATATATGTATGTATGTACTAGTACATGATAAATTTACAGTGTATATCTATATTATATCTGCATTATGTATTTATATATATACATACATATATCCTATTATATCCTTATGACTTCCTATATGTTTCTATTTCCAATGCCCAATGGTGATCCCCCATTGCCGATTTCAGGATGCTATTCCTGGACGGTTTCATCGTCCTGGCCTGCTTCGTGGAAGTGTGACCTGACCTGGGTGAACCATGGGAACTGTCTGAACCAATGGGAAATATATGGGACATATATGGGAAATAGGAGTAAAGGTTGGGACTATGATGCCAAGGAGGTCAACATATGATTAGGTATGGAAAGAAATGTCTTAATGAGTGCTGCTGATTTTTGTTGCTTGATACGTGGCTGAGTCATAGATACTTTTCTGCTGTGTTTTGAACTAACGTGGCTAAAGAAGATATATGGATATACACCAGGATTAGTGTTGGCCCCAAGTTTATGAATGTGTGGGCCATTATGGGCCCATTTCCTTGTATGAAGGGGGTCGCAATTTCCAGAGGGTAACACCTATTGGAACTCCTTTTGGCCGGAAAACAATACCAGTAGACGAGCACCAAAAATCCCCAATGGTCAATAGCTTGGAAGATCATGCCAAGTCCGGGATGCAAGTCAAAACGGGATAATCTAACAAGCTACAATGATTACGAACCAGGGGCAATGACAATCACTCCCCTAAATACGATTAAGTACGCCCTTTGCAATTAGTGCAGCTCATAATATCCCAACTATATCCCACCTACCTCACCATATGACTGATAATCCTGGGTGTCATATCCCGCAAGAGTTGCGAAGTTTTCCTGTTCTGGTTGATATTCCCATGATGGCCCCATGGCAGGGTGGTTTACTCCATCGATCCCAGCAATGCTGCAGGCACGATGATCCAAATCGTGTGTTGACAAAAAACACAAAAAACATCAGGACTTTTAGATAAGTTTCAGCATATTTGGGAGTACAACATATTTCAACTAGATGTAAACATATAAATGTGTCTGAAAATGGTGACCCCATTCCATCCGATGGTTAAACATTTCATCTTCCCCAGTATTTGATGGCAATAATTTGATGGTACATCACCTATTTTTGGACAACCCATTTTATATGGTTGATTGCATATATATATATATATTATATACATATCATATATATATATATACACATATTATATATACACATATCATATTATATACATATCATATATAGATCTATTTACATACATATCATATATATATACACATATCATATATATATACACATACATATCATGTATATTTATGTATAAATATCATATATATATATGCATATATATGTATGCATATCTATCTATATATATACATATCATATATATATATACACATCACATATATATATATATATATATACAGATATCAAACAAATATTTACATATCATATATATATACCTACATATCCGATTCCCACATTCCCACATTAGGGCATTATTATATAAGTCTTACACATCAGGTTTTATGGGTGAAAACCGCACCTTCCCCGTGTAAAATCGGCAGAAATTGGATATCTCCAAAAATCCAATGGTTGATCATTCCCCACTACTAGTTGCAGTTTTTCTTTTTTTTTTGGGGCATGCCACATGTTCAGACTCAAGAAATCATACAGAAATCCCCACTGTGGATCACCCTGATTCATTGCCGCCAGCTCTCCGGTTGCTGCGCCCCTTGCGTGCGCTGCGGCTCTTGCGCGCAGCGCGCGGCTGCGTGGTGGGGTCCCGGGGATCCTGGGGATCAGTGGATCCATGTTGGGGAACATCTTCGATCTTTGGGATATGGAGGTTTCCATAAATGGGGGGTGCCCCAATAGCTGGTTGATATTGGAGAAATCCGAACATCAAATCTCAAAAATGGCTGGTTGATACTGGAAAATCCGAAAATGGATGAGGACTGGGGCTAGCCCCATGACTTAGAACACCTCCATGAGCTAAAGATTTCAATCCGAGCTTTGGGATTTTTTCCAGTAAGATGATGGTATTTTCACTGTTTGACGCTAGAGGGAAGATATCCTAAAATAGGGGGCTTCGTGATAGTCGGGAAACATCGGAAAACTGTGGATATCTGTGGATAGTTCAAACAGTGATGTAGGGGTCCATTCAGTACTATGCCGGAAGATGTTGACATTGAAGCTTCACATTCTGCGTGAAGGAACCCATGGTATCGCTAAAAAGAACAACATTGGTTAAATAAATCCTGGTTGGTTGGGGTTGCTGATGGTGTTACTGACAGAAAGTGGTCATTTGCTATTGAAGATACTACTTGAACCCTGTTGTTGAAGCTTTATTCATATAATTCCATGCTATCCCACTATGTCCCGTCACAATAATCATCAGCATTTCTTCGAGTAAGTCTTAATACTCCATCTATTCCATACAATCTCGTTATATAGTTATATAGCAATGTTATGCAATTTTAAGACCGAACATGAACAAATCCAATTCTATATCCGATTCATTCAATTCATCCCGATTCTATTTCACATTCTCGCAGCCTATACCCTCTGGTAAATTAACATAGCTATGGAAAATCACCATTTTTCATGGGAAAATTCACTATAAATGGTGATTTTCCATAGCTATGTTAAATTACCAGAGGGTATATCTATTTTCTTGATTCACATCACTCTGGAAGAGCCCCTCCAGTTGTATAACCGTTGGTTAAAACCAACCCCACGTTTAAGTAGTTCAATTAGTGTCCACCATATTCCAACCGTTGAAAAAGCCGTAAACCAAGTCCGTATCATTTGCTGGTAAACTCTTATAACTGTTTATTGGTTGCCAATTTTAGCCCATTAGGATCTAAATTCTCCTGGTCTAGCCTATAACTACCAACGTTGTTACATAACCACACTGTCCAAATTTGGCATGGTTGAATCGATCATCATAACCATGCCCTACTTTGGTTAAATGGTTAAATCCCCCATTTTGGTGGCTTTGAAATCGCCACATGTGCGGCTTGAACCACCATGAGAACGCTCGTTGGTTATCCCCATTTATAAATTAAAACGACAACATGACTCAATCATTTAAATCTAAATTTCCATGATTAGCGTCAGGTTTCAATAAAAACACTTGATGACATCTAAATTGACCATGAAAAATCCCCAACTTTTTGCAGGTTCTTCCAAAGGTGATTTAGCAGTTCTGCCCTGGAAAATCACCATTTTTCATGGGTAAATCATCATAATTCACTCATAAATCATCAAAAATCCGTCATATTTAAATCATTCATGAATCATTCATGAACCATTCAAACTTCATCCAGAAATAAAGATAAAATCACCATTGTGCATAGGTTGTTTACCAGAAATGGCCCGCGGTTTTCGGACGCTCAGCGCGTGCTTCAACGCTCGAGCCTGGCGGTCTTGGCGTTGAGCGCCTTTGCGAAGCCACTGGGCGCACTTGGAGTGGCGAAAATGGCCATCGAATTGGCAACTTATATATATATATTATGTATATATATATAGTAATATTAATCAAAAATGTATCGTATTTGCTGCGGCATGTCACGGAGCCGGGTGCAGCTGGGTAGAAGACATCAAAAAACAAGAAAGAAATAAAGTGGTTAAAACTATTGATAAACTACCCATTTGGGAATGGTAAACGTACCACCTATAAACATAGTGATGACTGATGGATGGTTTATTATTGTTTTAACATGTTCCCTCCAACCCGGACGTTGCTCCACACCTCAAGAGAATCATCATCATCATCATCATCATCATCATCATCATTTTTCTGGTGCTTGATAGGGAATGGGGGAATGATCCAAAGGATCCAATCCACATCCTCAACTTATCTTCATAAAGGGATCCAAATTTGCCACCCCCTCTGACTTATATGTTGATGATAATAAGAACATGAACTTATTTTGTTGAGGGATCAAAATCCACCACTCCCTCTGACTACTACGTTGACAGGGATCATAACATCAACTTATCTTCCTAAGGGATCAACAATTGGCACCTTCTCCGACTTATATGTGATGTAATATATGATATATGTGCTATGTACTAATATACTTCGGCCACTTCTGATTCCGACGCGGAGCGACGTAGGGGTTGCAGCGAACATGTTTTAACCACATTAGGCATTATTTCGGGCAAACCCCATTTCTTGCCCTTTAAGATTCCCTTGAAACATGTCCTTTGAATCCCTAAAAAGTTGTGTGTGGGCGAAAGAGGAGGTTTGCGCATATTATTCATTAACCATGTATATATTGATTCCCGAAGTATGTGTTTTAATTGATCCATATCATATACTACCGTATACTATAACATTAATTGTGTTTTATTGATCCATATACTACGTATAATTTTAACCTGGTTAACCATGTATATTACGATGCCTGGTAATCATGTATATCACGATGAAAATCAACATTATGGGACAATATGGGATAATCTATCTGAATCCATCTACAATTACATTTATATTTGTATATAATTAATGTATGGGGATTTCTTAAGTCATGGGGGATCCACACTCGTCACCATGGTTGTTTCAATACTAATTCATGGTCAGATGAAACCTCCAAGCGGTGGGAATCATAGAGAAATGGAAGATCATCAACGAGCAAACGTGGTGAATTGAATCACGAAGGCCTTGATTTCTGCTACACAAACGGGGCTTTATTACCACCCAAAATGTATACGAGATATTGTACTGATATATAGTCTCTTCTGACTCTTTCTCTTCTCTGACTCTTCTCACCACTATTGCTGCGTGTGTCCATAAGTCGGAAGTTTGACTTCTAAAGTATTAACCATTATTAACTATGATCAGCCATCATGAACTATTTTTTTAACCATAGTTATATCATCAGTATTAACCATGATTATCAGAGCCATGTCATAGAACATGTTTTTTTTGTTTGCTTTGGGGCCTTGGAGTTCTTAGGGTCTGCGGTACCAAGGTCACTGAAACCACTGGCAGTGATTGGAGTTGGGGGCCCTCGGGGCCCTCGGCTGGTGCTAAGTGGAGGATCATCCCCAATCGACTGGATAGGTAGTCCCCAATCGTGTTTTTTGCTAATGGAAAAGAACCATGACTGGCAAAAGACTCTATGATATCATGGCATCTATATGGATCTGGCTACTAAATGTGATATGATACCGTATTATTGTATATACAATATTGTACCAGAAAAAATGTAGAAAAACATGCGCAATGCGCACTATGATTTAAGATTCGATTTTGTAAATTCGATTTTGTTGGGAGTTGGAGTTGCCATACTATAGATATATATATATATGTGTATATATATATGCATACGTACACGATTGAATACTGGCAACCAATGACTGCAAGGGTTTTATGCACAGATTGCTCGCAAACTGTCTGTTAGTCATTACTCTAGAGGCTAACTCCTGTAACTATGGGATTTCATCCCATGTCGGACGCAGCCTACGAAGGCCACTTTCCTTTGCGGAGTGATCTCTGTCTCAGTGATCTTAGTGCTCCAGGTGCGGCGTTTCGAGCCATGACACGGAAGGGCCTGTAGGGGTTGGTGGTGAAGAAAAGCATTGGAAACTGGTTGGTGGTGACTGGAACATTGGTTTAGTAAGTTTAGTATGGGGTAGTGATGGTCAATGATGGTTAATAATGATTAATAATCACTGGTTGGTGGTTTGGAACATTTGGATTATTTTCCATAATATGAATGGATAATCCTTCCCATTGACTTTCATATGTTTCAAGATGGTTAAAACCACCAACCAGAAAATGGTGTGAAGTGGTGGGAAACCATGATATGAATCAAAGTAGTCAAAGAATGAATCAACGTCTTGAAGTAGACGAGTCAGTGGTGGTTTCCAATCATACTTAACCAGTATTTGAACACAAGGCACAAACATGCACAGAATAATATATGAGCCAATATTGAAAAACCCATAGGTGAATTTGCCTAGAGATGGATCGTGAAACGTGAAGGGGAGATGTAAAGGTGATTAATCAAATATTTATGCACGTGTGACCGTTGATTAGGCATTAATTATGGATAATAATGGTACAGTTAATGATAGGCATATAATGGAACTTGCATTACTATCAGTCATAGTTTTTACCATTAATTGGATGATAGATGATATCAATATACATGATTGCATATCAAATCATTTTAGCCTGTTCCAATCTCGCAAAACATCCGAGAACTCCTCCGGTAATCCATCCTCGATCATGATCCTCCACAGGAACCCAATGGGTGTATCATGTCCCACCGAAACAAATCCAAATTAAAAGTTCCGTCTCAAAAACCGACAAACACATTCACCAAATATCTCACAAAACATCTTTGACACATCTTAAATTTAGCAAACATCCGACTATCAATGATTGGTCATCAGTTTTCCTCCTTATTTGTTTAGATCGAGGTTCCAAAGTCTCCAAAAAACCAAGTCCTGCCCCCGTTTGATGGTGCAGCTTCCCGCCACCATCATTGAGCTGCACAGCCCAGAGGTGGAGAAACTTGGGCGCAAATTGGATCTGGAGGGAAGTTGCGACCGCCACCTAAAAAATGGGGGATAACTGTTATGATTTGTTCCATGGGTTTTCATATTTTTCATGGGAATTCACAGGGGATTTTTTGTGATTTGGTTCCCATGATTTGATCAACAAAGATGTGGATTTTGGATGTACCGTGTCCAGTTGGGCATATATGGTATAGGTAAGTAAGCACCACATTGATAGAGAAGCAGGATTTTACTTTTCTACCTTTGTTGGGGGGTGGTTTATGTGTATATTATATACAGTATTATTTATTTTATAGTATATAATATATATATATAATATATAAATATATATAAATATATATATAGTTATAAGTTAATTATATATGCATAATCAGAGTATTAGTACGCACAGATTCTGGCACGTCTTAGGTAATTATATATATAATTACATTGTTTGTGTATGCATGTGTATATAAACAGATGGATACGTATGTGTACATATTGTGTGCACACAAACATCAACACGTCATCATGGACGAGTAGAATTTGCGAACGAACTCGGACTGTTTCGCAACAGAGACAGGCCCCAAACGCATCTCGTGGCAGATACTGTACCATCCTGGACTCTGGGTGGTATGAGCAGGCTGCTGACCATGGCTGTGTCAGTGGGGTATACCCTCTGGTAAACTAACATAACTATGAAAAATCACCATTTTCAATGGGTAAATCCACTATTTCTATGGCCATTTTCAATAGCTATGTTAGTTTACCAGAGGGTACCCCTCAAATAGCAATTTGATACCGGGATAATGGTGATTCACCAATGGTTTTTTTGGCGTAGTCTATTTTCAGAGCAACCAAAAAATGGCTGTGCTTCAGCCAGGTCGCAATGTTGGTATTTTTTTACCCAGTTTCAGAGGGAACATCTGAAGGAATTCCGAGGAATTCTATGTGAAGCTGGGTCTTTACCATGCCCATTGGCATCCTCTCAACTCACATGGACCCTGATATTTATTTGCCATGTTTTTTTTGAGATTTGCCTTCCAAACCCCCAACTCATGGCAAGGTCTATGTTCGTGGGATGGTAAATGTTCAACTTACACCAAGGCGTGTGGCTGTATGGATTGAGCCGACCTAAACTGCGGTGTATATGCGACCAAAGCCCTGGTTCATTGGTTATTACAGGGGGTTAAACTACCTGGATCTGTTGGAAGTTGGAATCCATTTTTACCAGGATTTCGGGTGGCCCCATGGGATGGGACAGTGAGGCAAGAAGTCCTTGAGAAATTCGGCTCGGTGCTGGCATCGGCCAGCACAGTCTTGCAGGCTGGCAACCCAACAAGCTACCAACAGAGACGGGTGAAAATCACCATGGGTCAAAAGTTGGTGTTTTCTTAGTTTCAACATGTTTCAAGCAACAAATTTTGTGACACACAGATGCGAAAACACGCTGGTTACCAGGTTCTACTGGGCTCCTTGCAGCACCCAATCCCTTGACATCCCTTGACCATGTCCCCACTTTGGGGGACCCCATAAAACCCCGAAATGAATGGATTCATCAATGGATTGGTGGGAAAAATGACCGGAACCCCCTTTTTTTTTTCCATGGGAAAATTCCATGGGTTTCCTGTAGATTCCCATGGAAAGAATCTTCACGAAGTCCATTGAATTCAGCACCTTCCTGGATTTTTGTTGGATATTGGTCCTGTCACTGGCAGGGATAAAAATGGGTCCCATTTGGGTGACTGGCTATGACGAAATCATTGGCAATTTTTTGGAGAGTTTACCATAGTTTACCCTCTGGCAACTAACATAGCTATTGAAAATGGCCATAGGAATAGTGGATTTTCCCATTGAACATGGTGATTTTCCATAGCTATGTTAAATTACCAGAGGGTAAATCATCTATAAATTGGCCACGGTTTTAGATCTCTTAGTGAACCCTGTTACGGCTACGTGAATAGTCAAAGGACGCGACCGATATCTTAGGTCCCGTGTTTTTGTTTTTTTGTGGGGGCCAGGTGTGTTTCGGATCGCATGACCTTGGCCCTTTACTCTTCACCATTTTCGCCAAGTCTGGGGGAAGGCGCTGTCAAGATGGGTCAAGATGGGTCAAGCGTCTCTGGGTCTTGGCCCCATTTTCGGCCAGGTTTTCTGTTACATGTTTTACATCACCCAACTATTGGGGATATAATCTCAAAGAACTACTTGAAGAATATTTGGTCAAAATCCCCTGAAAAATGGCCTTGGAAATCTGAAAGAATGATGGAGGATGAGGATGAAACCAATGGACTCCATGTTTTTCTTTTGTTCCGAACATTTTCAGGTACCTTTTGGCCTTTTGGGGATGGATCAAGTTGCCTATGAAATACATTGAACTAGCATAGTTGCATAGTTGGGTGGTGAAAATCCATTTACCAGCGATTTTCACAGGCTTTTGGACCCATCCTCAAACGATCCAAACGGCGTTGCCAATTTTTTACCACCATTTTCCCAAAAGCATCCAGAAATAAGACAATGTCAACCATGATTTTTTGCGGTATCAACATGGTTGGAACAGCCCCAATGAAGGATGGAATATAGTTCGATATAATTGAAGGAACATCTACAGGAAGCCCCATATTTGGGTAGCAAGCATGGTGTCCTGTACATGTTCCAGCACACCCAACGGTTGATCCTTTATCTGATATCCATTGATATCCCATTATCGATTCATGATGATTAGTTTCTTTTGGTGTATACCACGGTTTTTGTTAGCTTAAATACCTCCATGTACGCGGACCCCAATTATATACAGTATTATATATATATATATATATTATATGTAGTTATATTATGTATATATTCAACATGCCACCATCTGAATTGTGCTTGAAATCCCCATTTAATATGTTGACATCTCCAATTCTTGCTGCTGAGAATCACCAATTTGAGTTGGTTAAATCCCAAATTTCTGCTGGTTAAACTGTTAAACTATCACTTTTGTTCTTTTATAACAATTCACAACTCATATGGTGGCTGACTAAATTCCATTTTAATCATCCGAAAAACATGTTATCTACGGTAAATACTCATGTTTGGCACACACAGAATCCCAGAATCCCAAAATCCCCCATTTAAGCAGAACAATCCATCTATAAATCCCCAAATGTTTATGCTGGTTGCGGTATGCCGGCGAAATTCTACTTTTTGCTGGTCATTGTTTTGGTTGGTCAAAATGGCATCATATCCTGCTTGGAATCCAGCGAAAATCCGCGTGATTTTTGCAGGCCTCAGCTTGCAATCTTCACGGCCTCAGTTGCTGGGCAGTTTTTGATTGGGGATATCGAAGAAACACCCAAGATCATCCCAATTGTTTATGCCTTAAAAAAATCAAACATCCCCCATTATTTCATCTTCAAGTTGGTGAATCTATTACTGTACTACAATTCAGCCAAGGTTCCTGATGTGCAGACAAAAACTGATAAAATCAGGGGTAGATGATCGGATTATGGTGGGTACTCAGAAATTCACCGTTTGGATGTGTTTGATTTGGGGTGTACACACCAAAATGGTCATTTCTTGCAGAGGTAAACCCCCATAGACTGCCAGCATTTGCCAGCGAAATGTCCATGTGTTGCTCATTAAAGCCCCTTTTGGATGTTCTTTGTGGAGCATGTTTGACATTTGACTGATAACACAAACATATTTCGTGCAGGACTCGAACATGGAAAATCAGCAACTCGATGATTGCCCCGTGGAAGCTCTAGGATTTGCCATGGTTGATTACCAGGTACCCATTACATGTCCCATGAATAACCATGATCTACCATCATTAAGCATTCTGAAACAAATGCCAGAGGGTACAAGTACCGAAAGTGTCCGATGGATGGGTAATATTCCTTTGATCATAATCATGGGCATTATTCATGGTACTGTGTTTTTTTCTGATGATTTGGTAATACCACTTACCATTATTACCCATTATTAGATAACCTTTATTAACCATTATATTAACCATTATATCAACCATTATATTAACCATTATATCAACCATTATATTAACCATTATATCAACCATTATATTAACCATTATATTAACCATTATTAACCCCGATTAACCACTATTAAGCATTATGATCCGCATGAATCCAATTTTGAGGAAAAACAAGAGCAACCAACTAACCCGAATGCAGTCACGTAAAACACTTGTGTGAAACAAGTTATTTCAACAGTCTTGTACATTCTTCCCCTGTTGCCGTACCAGTGTAGACAGTGGGGAATGTAGTGTGTAGGATATGAAGTGGGGATTGTGGAGTGTGAAGTGTCGAGTGTAAAGTGTAAAGTGTGGATGTAAAATGTACAGCGTAGATTGTGGAGTGGAAAGTGCAAAGTTTAGAGTGTGGAGTGCAACGTGTCCCAGTGTGGAGTGTAAATTGAAAAGTGTAGAGTGTCAAGTGTAAGAGGCAAAAAAACATGTCCTAGCAAGGTCCTGGCCTTTCTTCTGATCACTTTCCTCTGTCGGGGACCATAGATGGAAAGACTGCGCCACCTGCGGATGATGCTTGGCGAATGATGTTGGCACCATATAGCGATGTGAAAAAAGATGTCTTTTTACATAGATAGACGTAGAGAAAGAGAGAGAGAGAGAGAGTCATAGAGATGGAAATGGAGATAAAAAATATGGAAAGACGAAACAATATAGATTTAGATAGATAGGAAGATAGATAGATAAGATCAACTATATAGATTACTGTAGATATTATCAGATCATCTTATATTAAAATTAGATCGATTGTACAAGTGCCAAAAGGATTGATTTATTTGTATTTCACGTAGTATTTCATTTCAAAGGATGTTCTAAGAGCATAACCTCAGTTGGTGTAGATTCAATGAGGTTCCCCAATAATTTCCAGAAGAGCCACAAAGCTTTTGCACAAAGAAGTCCCAGAAATCTGTTTGTCCTCCTTCAAGCCAATGGGTGATGGGTTTTGGCGAAAGTGAAATCATCCTGTAGTTACACGATCCAATAACTGTCATCGATGATTTTCGGCTCAGTCGTTTGTTGGTTGTTTTTCGTGACAGATATCCAGGGCAGTTATCAATCTCAAAGACAAGTCAATTTGAATTCTTGTTTGCCAAGTCTTGTTGCTTGGTTTTCCTTGTATTTGCTCGCGACATTCCTACACGGTCTGTTAGATCCTCCCCTTGTTTCGCCCTGGTTTTTTGTGGGCTAGTTGAGGTTGAGGTTTTGCCATACATGATCCATGGGAAATCATGGGAACTACGGAATATTCCACTGCAACAGGGGAATATGTACCCATACTATGATCATAGCGTAATACATGGGAATACATTATAGCAATCACCCAAGAAAGCGATGGCAAAGTGAAATCGGAACCTCAAATGATCGTTGAACATCGGTTAACTAATTCCATCCTTTTGGGGGGTTGCTATGCCCATGATTTTTTTTAGTTGCTTGGCGATTGGTTGAAGATGGTCCCCAGCTAGGCATTTCTGGTGTCGTTTGCGGCGTACTTCTCAGTCAAGTTATCGTGCAGAAAGGCGTGGTGCTCGAAGGGCTCGCTGGTTCGGTGCTTTCGGCTCTGGGATTTCTGAGATCGGAACGGTGTCATCATGGCCATGGCTGTGGGGAAATGGAGGTTTAACATGGTTTAACATGGTTTAATCATCAACAAATATATGGATCAAATATGGATTTAATATGGATTTAATATGGATTCGATATGACTGTTCATGGAATTTACTGAGAAAAAAAAAATGGGACAATGGGATAATATGGGATAATTATCAAACATGGCAAGGTTTTTTTCGATCTCTGGAGGTGTTGATGGGGGGATCGAACCTTTGTGGGGGTTTCTGTTGACGAATTCCCATGGTTTGACCGGATTGAAAACAGAACTGGTGGTTTCAAACATTGACTTTATATGGGATACCCTCTGGTAAACTAACATAGCTATTGAAAATGGCCATTTATAGTGAGTCTTCCCATTAAAAATGGTGATTTTCCATAGCTATGTTAGTTTACCAGAGGGTAATCATGGATAATCCTTCCCATTGACGAACTCATTTTTTTTCAAGCTGGTTATTGCACCACCAAGCAGAATTATTTGGACTTGAAATAATGATTTCACACAGCCGTGAACGAACTTGAAATCCTTCTGAATACAGTTGAGTTTCTTGGTCGCTGAAAGAAGCATTACCTCAATATTTCAGCAGTTTACCGTTCACCCAGCTAACTAGTTTGGAATCACAGTTTAACATTGTTTAGATATCCTTTGAAAGCATGTTTGCTAGCATCTAATTACTAGCTTAACATTGTCAGCAACTTGCCATGCGCTTAACGAAAAAACGTAGACCTAGGACCTAGACACTGTTTTGGATTGAATCCCCATCATGGGGCAGGGAAAGATATACATTTATCATATATAGATTATATTGATTTATGTATCGTAGCATCCCCGAAAAAAAGAACAAAAAACTATTTTTCACCACGTGATTTATTTCAGTGGAGATCGAAATTTCTATCGTTTGGGCGGTTGTATTTTTTTGTGTTTTTCTTGTTTCATATCCGTTAGTTGACCATGAAAAAAAGCAGGCTCTGGCCTGGCCTTGTTTTGGATATCCCCAGGAGATGCAGAGGTGGATGGTGGCATTGAGTCCTTCCGAAAAAATCAGGATCTCGCAGCATCCTTAGATGAGGGCCGTAAGTGGCTAGTACTTTTTGATATTATATATACACAGATATTCATAATATATATATATATACACATATATATACATATATATATACACATATATATAGTTTAAAACAAATATTGTTATGTATTGTCTGTTTTCAGTCATCTTGTTGATATATAGATGTTGGTACATGCCATCGTTCTTTAGCCGTAGATTATTGTCCTGAATGTAATGTTGAGCATTCTCTGGTTTTTGGAGTCTTCACTACTGCGGGGAAGGGAATAGTTAAGGGAGGACCCCCAAACAGCTGTAAAACTACTAGCAAAATCAGACGGGGCGACACTATTGTTATCTTTTGATACTGTCACCCCACAAACGAAAACAGATGGAAACACATCAGATATTTTTTTTCAGGATAAATACTTGGCAGACCAGCCCACAGACAGACTGCTCTTTTTTGGGACCTGAACTGAACAGCCATATTTTAGTACCCAATGCTGACCTACAATTCCGGATTGGGTGGTTCAAGCATCACCTGGCTAATTGAACAGAGTTTTCACCCAGAAACGTGGTATTTATAGAGGAAATTAATTAGACGAACGATGATGAACGTAACAATATGATACGAAACGTTACGAAACTCAAGTTTGATTGGAACAAAACAAAGGTATCCGTTTCCAAAATTCCCTTAACCATGGTTCAAGCAGTTGTCAGTGATGCTGTGATGGCACTGGGGGATCTTTGGGCCGCCGAAGCTCGGACTTGGCTCTGTCCAGGTGTTGAGCCTCAACCAGGTGCGAGCTGAAAACCAGGGAGGGGTCCAGAGCATGCGGGATGCTTTCAAATGGAAGTAATTTCAATCATCCCCAGGTGGTTGATGATTAGCTATGCATTTCTATACTATATATATAGTATTGTACATTTCTGTCATACTATACCCAATTTTTTTCGGGGACTATCAGATTCTCATGACCCATTATTATGGGAATCCACAGAAAATGGGGATTCATCCTCCATAATGAACCATTATAACCATGATATTTCCATAGCAACGATTGGAGATGAACCAACCAGGTCTTCGAGGATGCTGGCCGAGTCCCCAATGTGTTTTTTTTGGTGCGGCACCACTGGGAACCCCTGGGAGGATGGAACCGCTACTACGATTGCCCCCAAGGGGGCCTAAGATGTTCATCTCGGTGAATCCAAGTCCATGAGTGGAGGCAATTCTTGGCTTAGAGCGGGTTTCTCCAAGGGTATTATTTCTTGCGAATACGCGGAGAAAAATGTTTGACCCGCTCCTTTTTAGCAGACCATGAAATGGTCATAAATAGTCAATAGTTTGGGTAGAACCCGTCTCATCTTGAGCATGATTGGTTGATTTTCCCATTTTTGTTGGATTGGTGGGGACACTTGTCCCAGTATGTTTGACTACGCCATCATGTTTGTTGCATAAATCTCAATGTTTGTTGCTTCTATCCCAATGTTTGCTGGTCAAGGTCCCTCAGTGTTGCAGAAATCTATAGAAATCCCCATTTTTTCTTGTTTGAATCCTGAATTTTGTTGGCTAGAACCCCTACTGTATGTTGTATTGTTTTAACAACCACATTTCAGTTGCCCAATCCTTACGTTTGTTAATTGAACCCGCCTGATTGCTAGTTGTATAATCCTGGAAAAAAACTCCATGACACAAAACGGTTCATTTCTATAGCCAATATTAGCCAATAAAAATCTATGAAATGTCCCAGTTATGAGTAATGAAATGAAGCGATTTATCGAAGTTTCTTCTTTTTTATCTTGTTTTTTGCCGGGAACGGTTTACAGCTTCCTTGCTGTGTTGAACCTAGATCCTCCAAGTCATTTTTTGTTAGTTCTGTCCCCAATACACTACGAAAAAAAACCCAACTTTCGCTGGATCCCTTTTGGATCGCCAGTGGCTTCGGATCCAGGGTGCCATGGGTGCTGGCGTCGGAAAAAAACGAGGCTGTGCTTTTGAGAGATATGAATTATATAAAAATTAAAAGATTGTTGTTGGTAAGCAGGCTCTCGTCGACAATTTGTCATAGAACTATTCCCAGTCTCCAAAAATCATCCCAAAAAGTGACCCCAATTCATGAATAGATTCCGAATATTCCACCAGGGTTTGTACTGTATTGGAAGGATATCAAATCTTACAGCGCTTAGACTATGCCCCAACGTCTTTCGGGATAATTGGTGGAACCCTCGTTTTTGTTCCTTTTTGGTGACCCTTACAGTGGCTTCGTTGTAGTTGAAGGTCGAACAACAGGATGGCTCTAGGGCTGACCTAGAGACGTTCCTGCAAACCCTCATCGGCCAAAGTGCTGGAATGGGTGTATGTTTTTCAATTTTTAATATCCTTTTGCACGTGCTCACACGTGCTGCGGGTACATAAACCCCAAGAAAAAAACCCACATTAACCCCATCATTAAGTCTCAATTGACCCTAAAGAACCCTTAAAGACATCCTACAGAAACCCTAAAGTGACCTTGCACAAACCCTAAATAAACCCGACATAATCCCTACATAAAACCTAAAGAACCTTATATATATATATATATACATGTTAACCCTCAATTGACCCTTAAAGAACCCCAAAGAAACCTTACATGAGCCCTAAATAAGCCTTATCGATCAATTTTTTGGAGACATAACCAGCACTATGATATCACGAACAACGTTGTTGGTTACCATCACCAGTTGGGGTTGGAAAAAAAATGGACCATACCCTGATATACCCTGTATATCCCTATGATTCCCTATGTTTTAATGATTTAAATAAGCCCAAAAAATGGTTTGTGACTGGACCGGTGAGAGATCCGAGGCTTTTCCAGCAGTGACAACATCAGCTGGTCCGATGTTCTGAGCGTTTTAGCCGTGGATAAGGACAAGGCTGAAGCTGCCGAAACAGCTCGGGGGGTGTATTCCAGTATTCCGCATGAAAATGGATAAATTTTAATGAATTTCACAGTCCAAATATGTTCAAATGGAACATGAAGAATAGATATCTGGTTGGTGGTTTGGAACATTGTTATTTTTCCATTCAGTTGGGAATGTCATCATCCCACCTGACGAACTCATATTTTTCAGAGGGGTAGGTATCGTATACCACCAACCAGATATGCTTGGGAGTCATGGGAGATGTGGCAAGTCACGTGGGATTCGACCCAAAATTGTGAATGGTGGACATGAGATTAAACTATCAGTATAACTGTAGTGCTATACTTACCCTCTGGTAATTTAACATAGCTATTGAAAATCACCATTTATAGTGGATTTTCCCATTAAAAATGGTGATTTCCCATAGCTATGTTAGTTTACCAGAGGGTATATATAATGGAAATTGAAACCTATTTGGAGATGGATCGAATCATGGCAGAATATGCCAGGTGACTTTCCATCCAACGACGTCAGCTATTTTGATAGGTTTCGATGCAACAAGCACATTACAGGACCAACCAGGAACTACCAGGATTTTTTTTGGGGGGGATTTCCACAATCACATGTAAGGCTTACTATCCTAGCGCCCCTTTAGTATGGTCTTCATTTGAGGCCTTCTTTGGCCTCTTCAGGAGCTTAAAAAAACCCTAAGATTTTCCCTGCAAAGGAATTGTTTAGACATATTCAGAAATTGTGAACTAATTTACTTCATAAAGGATTTTCCATGGGTTTCCCTGATTTTTTGGGTACCTCAACATCCAATGGTTAATAGCTGGGAGTTGGAGGCAACCCCCAAGTCAGACGGCCACTGCTGGCAGAAACGAGTTTGGTCAGTTGTGTATTCGATATATATATACATAATTATATTATATATACTATACACATACATATATAGATAGCTATATGTATCTACAATATGTATGTGTGTGTTGATCATTCGTCATCATGCTTGGTGGCTTGGTGGGTACATCCCCTTGAAATCCATCATTCATCAGGTGCCATCACTGTTGGATTGCTGCATCCCAGGCATCGTAAGTGGCTAACATGTAAGAACCATTCTGTTTAAAAGAATCCAGTTATATATGCTATATGAAATGTCCTTAGTTAGAGATATATGTATTATACATAGATTATATATATATATTAATTATATACATATATATATATATATATCATATATATACATATATATATATATCATTTTATACATATTATATATGGATAGCCTCCGTACCATTCCTAGGGCTCATTCCTGTGTAGTTTCATCCTGAGTGCCCCAGGCAGGGCAAGACACAGATCAATCTGCTTGGCAATATCTGCTGACTGCAGGGCCTAGTGCGGCGACCTCAGTTACTGAATGCACCGAGCATCATCGAGCATTCGACCATGACCCTGATGCAGCAATTTTTGTACTGCACTGGGCTCGGGGCTCGAGAATCGCACATAGTTTGTGAGCCAAATATGATTTTCACATATAATTTTTAAGATACAACTGTCTTATTTCATATGGTTATTGCATGTTATTGTCCCATTGCAATGCCTGCGATGCATGCATCATGGTTTTTCGCACTTGTTTGGGTGAGCTGATGGTTGGTCTGCAAGGCTTTCAATGCTGGAGATATTCATTCTGATATTGTAAGCATCTTGATCATCTAATCTTTATCTTCGGGATACTGCGTAAGTTTGTGATAGTTTTAATGATCGTTTATGGTGTATGAGCTGGGTGAGCCTGGACGGACCAGGATCCAGCCATGTTTGATGTCATCCAAGCTGGTTATAATCCAGGACTTGCGCAGAGTGTTCATCCCATTGAGCTGACCTGAGGCGGCCAAGATGGAAGAGGACGAGGAGTGCAGGGTCATGCAGGGTCATTCGTAAATGTTGTGAAAAACGCGTTGGTGTACTTCACAATAATGTATAATATTGTGTAATCCAAACTTTAGAATTTGGGTTTACTTCATTTTTTGGTTTACTTCAAAATTCATCATGATGTGAATTTCCAATGTATATAATCCCAAATGCGATGGTAGACTATAATATATATATATATAAGAAAGATCCAACCTGATGGGCGGATAAGTCGTGGGAACATGTGAATAGAAACCCAACAATGGCGCCCAAGCATTCCAGGTCCAACTGAACCCCAAAAATGCAGTAAAAAATGTGCTATAAGAAATGAATTTTCCGAACATGACCAATCAAATTTCTTTGAAAGATGTCCCTGGAGGGTGTAGGTGTCTTTGGAGTGGGATCCAAAATGGAATAATAGGGGTTTCCTAAGTCATGGGCCAAATTTCAATAAAAAAACAAAGCTACCTCCCTTGTTGGTCAAATCCGACATTGAGGGACCAGGAGGGACATGGCAGGGACATGGCACCACAACCACCGGAATTTGAGCTAAAATGATATCCTGAACAGAAATTGCAAAGACACAAATATGGAGCAAATCCCAAACCAAAACACAGCTCATGGAGTCAGTATGGAGCATAATGGATTCATGGTATTTCAAGATTTTCTGAATTTAGGTAACGAGGAGCTGGAGGAGTCACACATTGTTCCACTTCATAGAGTACCATGGCAAGCTAAGCAGCTCTTGCACTGGTGCACTGGTGTCAGTTGAGCGGCTAGCTGGCCTTAAAAGAACAATGGGCAAATCGCTGCTAGAAGTTGCTTCCACTCAGACTTGCACTATTGTTTCGAAATAGCGATGGCGAAAGGGATTCAAACCTACGTAGTGCTGCCAATCCTTGTGGAATGCGTGTAACTTTATGCAGCCTTGCCGCGGGGAAAGCTGGCGCAGAGAGGGATATGTTGGGGCCTCTCAGACCCTGTTTGCTGATACAGATTGACTGGCCGCTGCACCCCTGACTCCGTCATTTTTCCCGAGAGCGCCTGCGAAGGGTTCTTCGTAAAAAAGCAGCCGTTATACTACATCTTCACACCTTCACATCTGCTGATCTACATCTTCACACCTTCACATCTGCTGATCTAGATCTTCACACCTTCACATCTGCAGATCTAGATCTTCACACCTTCACACCTGCAGATCTAGATCTTCACACCCTCACATCTGCAGATCTAGATCTTCACACCCTCACATCTGCAGATCTAGATCTTCACACCCTCACACCTGCAGATCTAGATCTTCACACCCTCACACCTGCAGATCTAGATCTTCACATCCTCACACCTGCAGATCTAGATCTTCACACCCTCACACCTCACACCCTCACACCTGCAGATCTAGATCTTCACACCCTCACATCTGCAGATCTAGATCTTCACACCTTCACATCTGCAGATCTACATCATCACACCCTCACACTGCAGATCTAGATCTCACACCTTCACACCTGCAGATCTAGATCTTCACACCCTCACACCTGCAGATCTAGATCTTCACACCTTCACATCTGCAGATCTCTTCTCGCTCTTCTTCTATTCTCTCTTAAGGCGGGGGCGGTGCCGCCGGAGCGCCACGAAACGCAACCCTTTCGCACGAAATGCACGTTGGACGTCCAAAACCTAGGTAAAATTGCGATTTTGAAGCGTCCCCGGCAACCCTTTCGCACGAAATGGACGTTGGACGTCAAAAACTGAGGAAAAATTGCAACTTTTATTGGTCGCGCGCAACCCTTTCGCACGAAATGGACGTTGGACGTCAAAAACTGAGGAAAAATTGCAACTTTGAGGTGTCCCGCGCAACCCTTTCGCACGAAATGGACGTTGGACGTCAAAAACTGAGGAAAAATTGCGACTTTGAGGTGTCCCGTGCAACCCTTTCGCACGAAATGGACGTTGGACGTCAAAAACTGAGGAAAAATTGCGATGGACGCTTTCGTTTGTGTAAAAGTGTCTGTGTTTAAAGGCGTCGTGTAAAAAGCGTTTGTGTGTGAAAGCGTGTCTGCGTGTGTAAAAAGCATCTGCGTGTAAAAGCGTCTGTGTGTAAAAGCGTCTGTGTGTAAACGCGTCTGTGTGTAAAAGCGTTTGTGTGTGAAAGCGTGTGTGCGTGTGTAAAACGCTTCTGCGTGTAAAAGCGTCTGCGTGTAAAAGCGTCTGTGTGTAAACGCGTCTGTGTGTAAAAGCGTTTGTGTGTGAAAGCGTGTGTGCGTGTGTAAAACGCTTCTGCGTGTAAAAGCGTCTGCGTGTAAAAGCGTCTGTGTGTAAAACCGTCTGTGTGTAAAAGCCTTTGTGTGTAAAAGCATTTGTGTGTAAAAGCGTCTGTGTGTAAAAGTGTCTGTGTGTAAAAGCGTCTGTGTGTAAAAGCGTTTGTGTGTGAAAGTGTGTGTGCGTGTGTAAAAAGCTTCTGCGTGTAAAAGCGTCTGTGTGTAGAAAACGCGTCTGTGTGTAAAAGCGTTTGTGTGTGAAAGCGTATGTGCGTGTGTAAAACGCATCTGCGTGTAAAAGCGTCCGCGTGTAGAAGCGTCTGTGTGTAAACGCGTCTGTGTGTAAAAGCGTCTGTGTGTAAAAGCGTGTGTGCGTGTTTGCAACTGAGGTCATCCACGGCATCATGGTGCCGAGCTTATTTTGTATCTCAAAGAGCGGATGCCTTGCATTGGATTGTGCGTTGATCATGGTACTGAGCCTGGTCTTGTGCACTTTTGCGATTTTTTAGCATTACCATTGCGACTATGTTTGCGCACCTTTGTTTGCAACTGAGGTCACCCAGTGGTGCCGCGCTTTGTGAGCGTCTCTGTGTAAAAGTCTCTGTGGAAGCGTCTGTGTGTAAAAGTGTTTGTGTGTAAAAGCGTCTGAGTGTAAAAGCGTCTGTGTGTAAAAGCGCCTGTATGTAAAAGTGTTTGCGTGTAAAAGCGTCCGTGTGTAAAAGCGTATGTGTGTAAAAGTGTTTGTGTGTAAAAGCGTCTGTGTGTAAAAGGGTCTGTGTGGAAAAGCGTCTGTGTCTGTGTGCAAAAGCGTCTGTGTGTAAAAGCGTTTGTGTGTGAAAGTGTGTGTGTGCGTCTGTAAAAAGGCATCTGCATGTAAAAGCGTATGTGTGTAAAAGAGTCTGTGTATAAAAGCGTCTGTGTGTTAAAGTGTTTTCGTGTAAAAGTCTCTGTGTGGAAATGCGTCTGTGTGTGTGTGCATGAAAAACGTCTCTGTGTGAAAGCGTCTGTGTGTAAAAGTGTTTATGTGTAAAAGATTCTGTGTGTAAAAGCATCTCTGTATAAAAGCTTCGCGTTTCTTCGCGTTCACGGAATGATGGTGCCGAGCCTTTTTCCGCAATGTGTGTGGGAATTACCATAATAAAATGAGATAGCACATGTCATTCGCAGACTCATGGTACCGAGCCTCCTGTGCACTTTTGTTGCTCACATTACATTTCTCCATGTTTTCTTTCTACCTCCCCCTTTCATTCTCTCTCTCTCTCTCTCTTTATCTCTGCCCCCTCTTTCTCTCTGTGGTTGCAAGACACATGTCATCTGATGCCCTTTACCAAATATTCTCTTCTTGATCAATCTTACTTTTTCACACCATATCTTTCCATAGCCATATAAAATTCACCAACTATTCACCGACTATCTTTTACGACTACCATCCTCAGAGCTGCTTGAAAAACATCTTTTTCGCTCTCGGGCCAACCGTCGTCTAGTTTTGGGCGCGCCCTGTGAAAACCTTTTGGCCATCATTGCATCGCAGGGGGCGGGCCCCACCTCGGGTCAAAATACATCAAAGACCACAAAACCCAGACATTCGACTGTTCCCCTCTTTGGTTCAGTAGCGCTGCGGGGCTGTCGACACTGTCAACTACTCTATCACATGTTGTTGGCGGCTTGGTTGAGTGCACCACCAAATTGCAGATAAATTTTGAAACATTGCTTGGCAAGAGAATCCCAATGAAACCCATTCCGCAAATCCTGAACCTTGCTGACGCGCAAGGAGGAGGATACCGAGCGTTTCAGATGCATTCTCCAAGACAAGGCGCAGCCACCTTGCCGAAGTGTTCCTTGAAGTTGGTTGCCGGAGTGTTTTGATGGTTTCGTCCAAGCCACCCCAAGCGTCATGAACAAAGTGAATTTTGCACACCATAAACATTGGTGAATGGTGTACATGGTGAGCGCATTGATGATGGGAACAGCCGAAAAACAGACAATAAATAATTGTCCAGGGCATCTAAAGAAGATGTTTCATTTGTTTCCTCTAAAATGCGTTTGTTGGCTCAAGTCTTGTCCAGAGCAAACAACCCCAACGCCGCAATGATTTGGTTCCTTGTAGAATTTAGTGAGCCACCAATGGAACCACGGTGTATTCGTGTTTATTCGAAAAAAACAGATGTCTCCTTAAAAGTTTGGTTTCAAACATTTCAATATTTGGTTGACTGCCAGGGCATCACCATGGAGGAGCGAAGGGGCGGCAGCTTGGGAACAGGCATCCCAATTCTTGTGAATTGTCACCACTTTGCTTGGCAACATAATACACCAGGGATTGCAAGAGCTCCTTAAGAATAAAACAGACACATGTTTCCTTCGACATGTGCCTTATCCGCATGTATCCGCATGTTTTTTTGAATAGAAAATAGTAAATATGGGTCGTTGAACTTGTATGTCTCTGCTTTTGCAAGTTTGAACATCACTTATATAACAGAGTGCTTAAATGGGGGTTTCCTAAACTGGGGTTACCCCCAAATCATCCATTTCTAATAATTTTATCGAATTGTCGGATTGTCCATTATAAACAATCCATTCTTATCCATTTTGGGGCACCCCCTTTTATGGAAACCCCCGAATATTGTGTACCCCAGAAGTGGCCGAAGGAGTTGTACGAAGCCTATCACGAGATGGCGCTTTTCGGTGCAGTCAGTGCCTGGGAGCAATCAGATGAAATCCAGGATATTACCACAGCAAGTAACACGATGTACAGTAGTACAAATGTTAAGTTCACATGTACTTTTACATAGTATTACGCAGAAGATCAATTAATATCACAGTGTCACAGCACACAATATATGTTCATTTGTGTGCTATATGTAGAAACAAATAAATGTATATTTATTTATAACTATATATGCTCTATGTATACATATATATATATATATGTAGAACACACACGGGATATGGTGTGTCATGGCATGGTGTGGTACCCTTCTTTCAGATACTCCCATATTTAGATGAATTATTAACGATGTCATCACGACGGCGCCACAGATGATCGTAATGTTCTATGTATTGGAATTATCCCAAGATTACCTTATTTCAAGGTGGTGAAACGTTGAAATTCGTCAATTCCTATGTACGTACATGCAATGCAAAAACGATCAAAAACATATCTATAATTATGTATGATTATGTATGTATACATAATTACACATCTTCGACAGAGATGAGGAATTAATCTGACAGAATGGTTTGATAAGGGAACTATGCAGTCATATGGGATAGAAAATTGCATATCACCTTGATGTCGAATCCTCAGTGATTTACGTTGGGTAAGCCACCACATTGGCCTTGATTCAGACTGGTGAATGATTCTAATCTGCCCAGAATTGGTTTCGTTAACCAAAGGAATAGATTTGATAGTTTTGGTGAGCATCCATAAAGCGGATTGCTGCAAATTATAGGTCGATTGTGGCAACTTGGGTGGAACATTGGTAATTTTGCCTGTTTATCAACCCAGTTGCCCCCTCAAACATATCTGGGATGTTGTGGTGTTCACCTACCCGAGTTTGAGTTTGGACCTTTGGGCAGACCTGGTGTTTCCAGCGAAACTTGTCGATAGCCCGAGGCGTTGTCACGGACTGTTGGGTGGTCCAAAGCGTCTTCATTGTCCATATGATATCCCGACTGTTTCTTCCATGTGCCAGCGACAAATATGCATTTTTTCCTCCCAGAATATAGAATTGTACACTTTTCAGGGAAAATACCGTTCAAATCCCCCAAATTTGTTGGGGAACACCATGCTTTCCGGTTGCAAATCTCCCGTAAACCAACCATTGAGTTGACCCTTGTGGGTTCCCTGCATCATGTTTGACACCATGCAGGTGTGGAGGACTTTATTTTGTGCACCTTCAAACACGTGGCGAACATCAAGACGGTCTCCATGCTGTCCTTCAACCACCAACAGAACAAGGTGAGAAGATGTCCGCCGAGTTCAACGTCGTTTTTTTTGATGGGATATACCCCCTTTTTTGGTTAACATGGATTGCTATGGACGATTTGCATCGATTTACCATTTTCAATTGTAGGTGTTTTTCTCCGATCTGGAATCGTGAATCTATGCATCATGTTCCATCGATTTGTGCTTGGTGATTGCATACGTTCACGAAGACAAATCTGAGTCTTTAGTGGAAGCCTGGCACAATAAATCGGAGAATTGGAAACCACCAGCCAGAAACAACTCGATCCTGAGTTGCAAAGCTATTTGAGTGGATAAATTGATGGTAAAGTTTCCAAAACCAATGACTTGTCTGTTCGGTGGGGATGCGCTGCGCTGCGCGGTTCAGGTCTTTTGGCGGATTCAGTATCATGCGCACGGATCCCCGGTGAACCATGGGGTGATTTCCAGCTGGTCATGTCACAAGCAGAACGAATTGGTAAGTCAAGAAATTTCTCGACCACATATACATATATATAATTATACATATATAATTATATATAGAATTATACATATAATATTATTATTATATATATATAATTATATATAATATCATATATAATATCATATATAATATCATATATAATATCATATATAATATCATATATAATATCATATATAATATCATATATGGTTTGTTATCGTGTATGGAGGAGAAGGGATAGGTCATATCCTTCAAAATCAACTCTTTGAGGTGCTACCTATGCTTGGCCAGGAAACATGAGTCACACCTATCCCTGATATGTCATTGCATAGTAATATACTATATATAAATATCTATCTATATATATTTATATCGACTCTAGTTTCGACCATACTTGAATGTATGATGGCTAAGAGGTGGACAGGACAAACTTTCAGATCCCAAACACCACAATGTAGATTTGGGGCAACACCCAAGAGTTTGAGCCGTAGTAATAGCCATTCTTTTGAAGCAATGTCCCAAACCTCAGTTCAGTGATCGTTTTGTTTGAGATGAGATAATTATGTGATTATATATCATACACTTATATATACATACTCAATTGTCCAGGTTAAATTATATTTACGATTCCATTGTGTTTTCCCATCGTTCATTATAAATTCAAAATACATATATATATGTATATATATATATATATACATGTATATACATATATATATATATACATATATATATATATATATACATATTCGATTCAGTAATTCTGTACCATATACTCCATTCGCAGTAGTTGTTAAGGCAGCTGGTGGATGATGCCCTACATGATATGAGGCGGACTGCACCTGCAGTGCTGGTAGTGGTGGTAGCGGTGGCGATTTGGAGAGTGGTCTGTCTCAAACATGGGGTTGCTTGGGGAGTAGGGCGGATATATGCAAGCTTTGACAAGGTGAGTATGAGATAGTATTAGTATATAATTATGATACAGGTCAAAGTGCTGGTATTCGTTTGCAGACGTTTGCAGAATCAACTGGAACCGTTGTAGTAGACGAACCTGTCACAGGGATGTTATTTTTTCCCATGTTGAGGGAGCAGTCAAAGATTAACCATAGATTAACCATAGATTAACCATAGATTAGGCCTGTAGATATCAAAGCACTTTTCAAACGTCAGGCCGTCGGACACGTCATTGGAACTCATAGGCTCTATGTCTTTTTTCGGCCTTGGCGTTTCCTCGACTCGACTCGGAAATCCGATGGGGAAACGGGAACACAGATAGTTGCCTGGGAGATAGTATATCTATAGTATATCTATAGATGGGGGTTCAGATTTCCTCTACCTTTAGGGGTGGGTTGACCCCCTGTACAATAGCGTTTTCGGACCTCAAAATGTACAGAAAATTGACCTTGCTCCCCCTCACTTTGTAGAGAAGTGATGTTTTTTTGGAACCTATATTTTTCAACAAGCATTTTGTAGAGAACAGATGTTTTCAGATATATGAGATGGAACAGCATTTTGTAGAGTCTAATTCTTGGCATTAAGAAAAACAAAGGCGTCACTTTGTAGAAAACCAAATCTAACATTCTTTTTGTAGAAGAGGATCATTTGGTAGTATATTTGAACTTTTCCGCAGTCGCATTCCCGGAGAAGTCCATTTTGGCTCTGCTACCGCTGTTGGTAAGAATTGATGTCTTTTTGGAACCTATGTTTCCAACAATTATTTTGTAGACGGCCATGTGTTTTCAGATAGGTGAGGTGGAGCAGCATTTTGTAGGGGTTTAATTTTTTTATAAGAAAACCGGAGCCTTGGTAGTGGGTACCCGGGTACCCCCATTTTGTACCCGTTTTGTAAAGTAATTAGTGGGTGAAGACTTCGAACTGGGAAATCTCTGGAAGTCTATGCAAACCTTTGCTCTCTTAATTTTCCAAGAAATGTACAAAACAAGGCCCGGAATCCTGTGTTGCTTCATGCTTGTTCTTTGCTTTGGCTGATTTGGGGTGTGTTGTTTGGCCTCGCTCTCATTTACTTGTTTGTTTTTCAGTGAGTTTTCTTCTTTGGGGATTTTGGGGTGCGCTTTGGGTGTTCCAGGGGTGCATCTTTCCAGTGGTGTTTGCACAGTTTCTTCTGTTTTTTTTCCATCAGATTCTTTTGTACTGCTTGCTTTTGCTGGGTGCTTCGCTGCACCTGTGTCTTGCTTTGCCACATCCTTGGCTTTCTGTGGAGACCCTCGTTGTGGTGTGTCACCGCCGGAACATTAAGCGATTCTTTCTTCAAATTCATCATTCTAAATTTCCGCCTCATTACTTTGCTGTATCTACTCTGTGTAATTGGTGCCTTATTTTTCGTATTTTCCTGTGTGCTTCTATGTTTGTTCATGCGTCAATGCGTTTGAATCAAAAAAATGCGACATTATGCGGCCAACAAATCACCCAGACGAAAAACTCTACAAAAAGGGTGTCCCTTCCTGAAGGCTCTACAAAATGATGCTATCAATCCTTGCCCTTTGTCGAACCAAGACGCACCAAATGATCCAACATGAGTTCTGGGGTGGAAGTATCAGTTGTGAGGGGCACCTGATATATTAAAACAGATGTTCTGGCCAGAAGTCAAAAGAATAACTTATTCTATGAGAGAACACGGAGTCTAATTAGGAGGGATCATAATGGAGGCTGAACAACTGAAAACAAGTAAATATGTACCAATAATATCCAATAATAATTTCAAAAAATGAATAATATCAAATTGCGCAAAATAAGCAGGAATAATTGCAATCAACAAAAAAACAAAATACAGAACACAAATCAAACAAAATTAAACATATACATTTTTTGGTGGGTACCCAGCTGTTTTTTTTCCTTTAAATGCCTTTCAAAATTGAGAACAACAAAAAAAACATGGGCACAAATAAAAACATGATTGATGAAATAATGATACAACATGAATTGACAAAACATAATACGTAAATGAGGAAATTACATAGTGATAATAAGTTTAATAAATCAATACCTTTCGGGACAACCTGGCAAAGTTTGTTTCATTCTGTCCAATTTGGCTCCACATTTCCACTGCTTTACTGCAGTTTGGCCTACTATCAATCCATTTCTGAATATGTATGATCCCTTTGAATATGAGCCCCAAGCTAATTGATGATAACTTTCTACAAAAAGGCTGACCTTCGGTAGGTTTCGAGCCGATGAGAACAAACCGCAGAAAGAATCTGAAAAGTGGAATGAACTTTGGGGATCCCTGTGGGAAGTGGACGGTGGAGAGTTCACTTCCTCTACAACATGCTAGGTGAGGTTTTTAAGATACCACGTTTTTTGGACAAAAATTCACCTCTACATAATGCATGTCATTCAGAGCCTTGAAAAATAATACTTACGTTTGAGATACATAATTTTAGACGTGCATTTTGTAGAGCTCCATTTTTGGCCTAGAACAGCATGTTGTAGACTCCTCGCAGCAGGTTGGCACTGCATTTTGTAGTAACAAGGTTGTGTTTTTTCAATTGTATCTACTCCATGGGGGGGGCCAACTGACCCCCGGTAATCTAAACCCCCATATCTATAGTATATCTATATATGGTATATCTATAGTATATCTATCTGGGTAAATTATCACGACCTCACTGTTCTCCCTCACTGGAAATCATGGTTAGGATTCGGGAAATCATCCCCTTTTATGGGCCTTAATTCAGGTTAGTGAATTATTATAATTTGCCCAGATATAATATATGGTTTGGAACCATGGAATTTTGAATGACTTTCCATATATTGAGAATAATGATCCCAACTGACGAATTCATATTTTTCGGGATTGAAACCACCAACCAGATCTCCGTGTGTTTCTTGTTTTCCTATTCCCAGTTGGGATGATGATAGGGTTCCCGAATTACATCAAATTTTCCGGATGGCTTGTGATAGTTCAATTCGCAAAGCTCCAGTAAGACTCAAGTGCACTTCAACAGGTACACAAAAACTTCCCTGTGTGAAAGCAATTCGCTTCATCCTGATATTCACTAAGAGAGCTGTTGCCCTGGTCAGCATAGCCTTTCCGACACAGCCGCAGGTTTAAGATTGGCAATTTGCACGCCGCTTTGCCAGACATGATCCAAGAAGTGGAGGTGCTCCAGCGTTGCAGGTTTGTGGATTGAAGTAGTATCAGGGATTGTGAAGAAATCTTTGCAAACATGAAGCTGTCCTGGATTTACGTTTGTTGATGATAAGTTTCGTGTTCATCGTGTTTTATTGTTTATTGTATGTATATCCTTTTTGAAGTTTCGTTCTATGGAAGATGTGCAAACTAATTCTGCTAGTTTTACCTATCCCCCAAGCCGGTCCCACAATGGCATCCCACGTTCGTTTTTGTGTTGGCTCTCCTTCCCACTTCTCGCATTGTCAAAATGAACTAGTTTGTTTGTAGCTGTTTGTAGCATTTCTAGAATCATGGTTAGGATTCGGGGAATCATCCCCAAAATAGTCTTAATTCAGTTGAGTGAAATATGTTAATTTACCCAGATCATTTGGCTACTCGTCAGCCAGCAAAGTTTGTAGCTTCTGCAGAAACAAAGCCGGAGTCAGGGCAGGCTTTTGACGCAACTGGCCAGGCTGCGTCGCTGGAACTGAAGGAGCTCGATGCATTGGAGGTCGATGTTGAACCATTGGCTTAACAAATGCTGGGTTTAATGGTCAAAAAAAGTGAGTCAACCATGCAAATTTGGTATTTTAATGTATTTCATATAGTTTAATTAATGATTTGAATGGAGATATGGTTAATTGTGGTATATCATGGGGACATAATCATACGGATGTAAACTCAGATAGCAACGGTTTCGCGTTCAGACATGATATATATATAATATAATATATATATACACATACCTTTTATGATGGATGTTCCAGATGTTTTGTATGTTTACTGGGAGCCACATTTTTTTGGATCAAATATTAAGGATGGGAATAGAATCAAGAGAACTGGGCTGCAAAGCCAGCAAAAGGTAGGTGGACCATATGTCCATATACAATACTGCAAAAAAGACATACATGCATAATATGATTGCATATGCATGTATTGTATGTTTGATGATGATTGATATTGATTTGATGCATCTTAGATATAAAAGAGTCCAAGCAAGAGGGCTGTGTGTTTGGCTCGTGATCGCAGATTGGTGAAGACAGGGCTGCTGATAGTCTTCTGGTCGATCAACTCAGAGTAGACACGTACTTCGTACCTAGGTCCTTGATTTGCTCAAGACATTTATTTTATGTTCCTAATGGGAAATCCACTGCTTCCGGAATCTCTCCGGAATAGTTTTATTTTTTTGGATTTGTGCCTTGAGCAAATCCCAGAGATCGTTTCGTTGTCGGAACAGCGAGAAAACCCATTCACTGACTGGGAACCAGCATGAGTCAGGACCATACACTAACTACGGTTACCCTCATTTTTTTTCGGAAACAGGAAGAAAGATGCCAGTAGATATGGATCTCTTCCTTTTTTTGAAGTGTGGATACTTGGGTGGCTGGGAGCCAGGCGAGGTTAGAGCTGAAGAAGCAGGCACCATACGGTAGGGTGAAGAAGCTGAATGCTGCGTCATTCTTTATACAGGACACAACCTCCATAGCGAAAATCACCATTTTTACCCAGACCATTTTTATCATGTTTATCATGTACAAACCGGTCATGGTTTCCATAGCTATGTGAAATAACTAGAGGGTATCGGTATATGGTTTTTCTATAGGGCTACAACTCCAGTTGTGGCTTTCCTTTTTGATTTTTTGGAACACGACAATCCAGCCCTGTTTGGTCCTTGTTGGGGAAACTCCAACGGTTTGGAGTTTGGAGAGACCCAGTTGTAGACCCCAAAAAATGTGTAACTTGATTGGTGAAATCCCATGTTCTCTGGAGCGTTGAGTGACACGATAGGATGCACTGTCTGTGAGCAGCACCGCTGTCCCAATCTTGGAGTCGCATCGTGGCAGCTGTTTTTCCAGGCTCTGCGGGACTTGATTGCTGAGAAGGAGGAGGAACCCTTTGCAGCCCCATTTCTTACGGCTTGTGACCACAGAGGGCTGGTTTCAGTAGTTTCATCATCGTTTCATCATAAGACCGTCAACTTGATTTCAATTTTAGTGATCCATATCTGGTTTGAATGTCATCATTCCTACTGACTTTCACTCCATCATTTTTCAGAGGCCTAGGTATACCACCAACCAGATGATTAACCATATATTAACCATATATAATTACCATCATCATCAACCATTATTAACAGTATATTAATATAACCATATAATAACCATTAATAACCATATAAAGTTTCACCGTCTTTCAGTCGTTTCCTCATCCAACTTTGAGGAAACGACGCCAGGGTCCGTCAGGAGTGTGGCTTCGCGGAGGTCCCTCGGGAGGAGGCGATGCAGGTGCCCCAGTGACGCCGTATGTGGCCGTAATTGGTTGGATTAATATGGGTTAATATATGTTAATACTATTGAAATATGATTATGATATATTATGATATACTGTAATTAGTTGAACTATGATATACTGTAATTAGTTGAACTATGATATAGTCAATTGACACATTGTATAGTTAGTTGAAATATAATATAGTCAATTGACATATGATATAGTGATATATATATATATAGAATATCACAAGATTATTCCGCCATCACAACCTGCAGCTTTGCCTCTCATATTCTGACATGCGTGGTAATTATAGATCTTCGCCAAAAAAACGTAAAAAATGCAAGACGCCTCGACCAGCAAACTGATATTTAGAATTGTTGTTTTATCTAGATAAGCATGTGCTGATCAACGTAGCATCTGCAGAACACTGAATGCAAGTGACGTTATTGCCTCACGCCACCCCACCCCACTCCACCCATGTAAATATGAACACGATAAAAACGCGACTAGAGACACAAAAAGATGTATAAAACCACGAGGCCAGTCTAGGCGCCGCTTGCCACTACACCTCGTAAATGCATATCAATTTAATATGGAACCCAAAAAGCTCCAGGTCCAATTTTTTGGGGTGCCAGATCAAATGTCGAGGATGCTACGCGAGAAAACATCCCAGGTCGTGCCCCCAATCCACGGATAGTTTCAGAGGTCTCCCCGCCAAAGCCAGATGTGATATTGTTGGTTCTGTCTCTTTAGAACCCATTAACCCATTATATATATATAGAGAGATAGATAAATAAATACATCCCATATGTCCGCAATTGTTGTCGGTTAAATCCACATACTCAAAACCGCCTGCGGCGGCAGGTGGAACGCGACGGGCATGAGCTGAATGAGATGTTGAAGGTGGGTATAGCATGGTATACCAACAGCAAATATCGCAATGTAATCTAAGAATATCTAAGACATATGGAGGTTTTCCTAAAAAGAGGGTACCCCTAAATCATCCATGTCAATAGGATTTTCCATTATGAACCAACCATTTTGGGGATCCCCCATTTATGGAAACCCCCATATAGGGAGATCAACGTACTCCAACCATGTCATGATGAATTCGCAGTGACCAACGTTAGGCCTGTTAAGCTGGTTAAGTGATCTAATGTTCATCGATTTCTAGGTGGCAATCACGTACTTGTTGTTACTTAAAGTCCCACTTTGTTCCATGTTTCACCATCAATTTTCTATGCGTGTATTGTATAACCCATTGGGTGGTTGGTTATATAATATTATATATAAGTCAACTCCCTATTTATTCAAAACACATGATACTTCTCCTCAAAACACATCCATATGGGCTTTGAAAGCCTGGAGTTTCTTCCCCTGATCAGGAACTCGAAAACGAGGTGGCCAATCTTGCAGGCCCGGCGTTTTTTTTTTTTTGTGAAGTTCATGGGCTCATGTAGCATGACTCTCGGTGCTATGGAAAATCATTGTTTTTTACTGTAATAGGTAAATAATCATGTTTATCATCTACAAATGGGCAATGGCTTCCATAGCAATGTTAAGTAACCAGAGGGTAACTTTTGCATAGCTATAGACTTTGAATGACCAGCTTTTGGTCCAAAAGATGAATCCAGGACAACATGGTGTTTGTGCTTAAATATGCTGAAATCGTGCTTAAAAGCATCTCCATGTTTTGTGATATAGGTTGCCAAAAACATGATTGAACATGATTCGGTTGTGGCCTTGGACATTCAACATATCAGAAATTGTCCAGTTTGTTTTCCAACCTCATATATAGAAACAGAATCTAATTCAACAGTAATTTATCACCACAGTACCATGTTGTTTCCATCTTCATTCATTTCTTTGATATTTCGAGTTTTGCGTGGTGCCATGCCGTGCCATGCGGCGCAGCTGTGGCAAGCGCTCTTGGGCCTCAGTTGGCTGCGGCATGTCACGGAGCCAAGTGCAGCTGGGTAGAAGACATCCATCAAACTAGCCATTTGGGAATGGTAAACAGACCACCTATAAACATCATGATAGTTATTGGATTCTCATGGATTCTCCATCATGATAGTTATTGGATGTACCAACTAACTTTAACAAATAATATTAATAATCCTGCGCCAGTTGCTAGTTCTTGGATTTTCGATGGATAAAGTTATATAATTGGATTGAAACACTCGATTTTCCATCATAATTGGTGGTTATTGCAGGGTCGTCCAAAAGCTCCATTTGATATCATTCAGAAAATCACTTTTAACTGTTGGAATTTAGCTCAATTTTTCTGTGGCAGCCTAAACTATTGTCTTGTATAGTGACCCAATGAAACGCACTTTTTTCAACACATTTAAATATTGAAGTCAATTACGCGCTCCAGAGCGCGTAATAATGACGCGCTCCGGAGCGCGTCATTGGGACGCGCTCCGGAGCGCGCAATCCATTCAAATAAAGTTCAAAGCCATTTAGTACCAGCCTAAGCTATTGTCTCGTATTACTGATCCCATGTATTTAAATGAAACGCACTTTTTTCAACACATGTACCTACTGAAGTCAATTACGCGCTCCGGAGCGCGTAATAATGACGCGCTCCGGAGCGCGTAATCCATTCAAATCAAGATCAAAGCCATTTAGTAGCAGCCTAAACTATATTGTCTCGTATGGTGATCCCATGTAATTAAATGAAACGCACTTTCTTCAACAAATGTAAATAATACTGAAGTCAATTACGCGCTCCGGAGCGCGTAATAATTACGCGCTCCGGAGCGCGTAATCCACTCAAACAAAGTTCAAAGCCATTTAGTACCAGCCTAGACTATTGTCTCGTATTGGTGATCCCATGTAATTAAATGAAACGTACTTTCTTCAACACATGTAAATACTGAAGTCAATTACGCGCTCCGGAGCGCGTAATAATGACGCGCTCCGGAGCGCGTAACAATGACGCGCTCCGGAGCGCGTAATCCATTCAAATAAAGTTCAAAGCCATTTAGTACCAGCCTAAGCTATTGTCTCGTATGTGATCCCATGTAATTAAATGAAACGTACTTTTTTCAACACATGTAACTACTGAAGTCAATTACGCGCTCCGGAGCGCGTAATAATTACGCGCTCCACTGTAAGAAAAATGTACTATTTATTCAATACATGTAAATACTGAAGTCAATTACACGCTCCGGAGCGCGTAATCAAAGCCATTTAGTACCAGCCTATAGTATTGTTTCGTATATTGACCCAATGTAAGAAAAATGTACTTTATTCAATACATGTAAATACTGAAGTCAATTACACGCTCCGGAGCGCGTAATCATTACGCGCTCCGGAGCGCGTAATTTGTTCAAATAAAGTTCAATGCCGTTTATTACAAGCCTAAACTATTGTCTCGCATGTTGATCCCATGTAACTAAATGAAACGTACTTTGTTCAACACATTCAAATACTGAAGGTGTAATTTACTTTAAATGGCATTCAAAACCATTTAACATCAGGCTACGGACTCCATATACCAACATCTTTGTTGGGGCCCTTGGGCTCAGATATGTTCAGATTCATTCCGCAGCTTGATGCTACCATTACTGTGGGCATGTACATGCTCACTTTTATGAAAGCAGTAATCTACTTGTCTAAGTATGTTTTTTCAAATTGTTTATCATTTTTTGTTGGTGGGAAATGGAGACACTATAATGTCACGATTAAGTGTGGTTACATGGACTCGCCATTTTCTTCCATCTCCACTCCCTTCTATTGCCTGTTTGGCGCTGATGGTGATGTTTTGCATTTAGGGGAGGAATTGTCCCCACATGATTCCGCAGCTGGATTGGATCAGCCATCAGCTTCGATTGGCGGTGGAATCTTGGCAAAACCCAAATCCACTCAATAAGGGAGTTAGGAAAAACCTAACTCCCTTGTTGAGTGATTCAAGTTGAATCACTCAAGAGGGTAGTTACGTTTTATCTCACTCCCTTGTTGGGCCCTTTGTGTTCCAATTGATGTCACCTATTCAACAAGAATTACTCAACAAGGGAGTTAGGTTTTTCCTCACTCCCTTGTTGACCCGTTCAACGCGAATCACTCAACAAGGGGGTTAGGTTTTTCCCTACTACCTAATTGAGTAGATTTCACTCATTGCCTAGGATGCCCGTTCAAGAAGAATCACTCAACAGTGGGGTTCGGGCCAATCCCCGTTCAAGAAGAATCACTCAACAGTGGGGTTCGGGCCAATCCCCGTTCAAGAAGAATCACTCAACAGTGGGGTTCGGGCCAATCCCCGTTCAAGAAGAATCACTCAACAGTGGGGTTCGGGCCAATCGCCGTTCAAGAAGAATCACTCAACAGTGGGGTTCGGGCCAATCCCCGTTCAAGAAGAATCACTCAACAGTGGGGTTCGGCCAATCACCGTTCAAGAAGAATCACTCAACAGTGGGGTTCGGGCCAATCCCCGTTCAAGAAGAATCACTCAACAGTGGGGTTCGGGCCAATCCCCGTTCAAGAAGTATCACTCAACAATGGGGTTCGGCCAATCCCCGTTCAAGAAGAATCTTTCAATAGTGGGGTTCGGCCAGTCGCCGTTCAAGAAGAATCACTCAAAAGTGGGGTTCGGGTCAATCGCCGTTCAAGAAGAATCACTCAACAGTGGGGTTCGGGCCAATCCCTGTTCTAGAAGAATCACTCAACAGTGGGTATCGGGCCAATCTCCGTTCAAAAGGAATCACTCAACAACGGGGTTCGGCACTGAACAGTGGGGTTCGGCCAATCCCCGTTCGAGAAGAATCACTCAACAGTGGGGTTCGGGCCAATCCCCGTTCAAGAAGAATCACTCAACAGTGGGGTTCGGGCCAATCCCCGTTCAAGAAGAGCCACTATATACAATGGGGTTCGGCCAATCCCCGTTCAAGAATCACTCAACAGTGGGGTTCAGACCAATCTCCATTCAAGAAGAACCAGTAAACAATGGGGTTCGGCCATCCCCGTTAAAGAAGAATCTTTCAATAGTAGGGTTCGGCCAATCGCCGTTCAAGAAGAATCACTCAACAGTGGGGTTCGGGTCAATCCCCGTTCAAGAAAAATCACTCAACAGTGGGGTTCGGGCCAATCCCTGTTGTAGAAGAATCACTCAACAATGGGGTTCGCGCCGTTCCGCCTTCAAGAAGAATTGCGCAACAAGACAATAGTTTAGGCTGGTACCAAATGACTTTGAACTTGATATGGTGAATTATGCACTCCGGAGCGCGTAATTTATTTTAATATGTTTGTTGAATAAAGTAGGCTTCATGTCCACAATGGTTTAGGCTGGTACTAAATGGCTTTGAACTTTATTTGAATGAATTGCGCGCTGTGGAGCGCGTGATTTAGTTTAACTGTTGTTTAACAAATCGAAAGATACAGGAAGTTTCATGGATTCCATGAGGATTCCATGAGGTATAATATATTTGAGTTGATAGCGTGGCCTGGTATTCAATGGTTTTGACTATTGTTTAAAATAAATTGCACACTCCGGAGCGCATAATTTATTTGATTTCAATAAGGCCCAAAACAAATGAAAACCAGGCTAAACTATTCTCTTTGATATCAATCGGATGCAAATAAAACATAATTTAATCAACAAAAATACTACAGCAAATAGAGTTTCATCTCGAGGAAATCCAGTTAACTTGTCACTCCAGCCAAGCCTTCATCTTTGTAAAGCACCCTTTGGTGATCGAACTGACAAAAACTCAATAGTTAATAGGGGGAGTCCGATCTGTGTGCGAAAAAGAAATCCAGCTGATTGCCATCATTTGTTTGTTTGATTTTGTTTGTGGGACTCAGAATTTGGTTTCATCATTTGATTTTCAAGAGGGTCATTTGGACAACCCTGTATTGGATTTACCAACTAACTGTTACAAATTTATTGGATTTTCGATGGATGAAGTTGATTGGATTTACCATCATAAATGGATGAAACACTTGGATTTACCACACATTTACAGACAAGTATGATGAAACACTTGATTTTCCATCATGATTGGCAGTTATTGGATTTACCAACTAACTGTTACAGATTATTGGATTTTCGATGGATGAAGGTAGTTGGATTTACCATCATAAATGGATGAAACAATTGGATTTACCACAATTTTACCAACAATTATGATGAAACACTGGATTTTCCATCAGAATTGGTACTGATTGGATTCACCAACTAACTTTTTAAGAATAATGATTGGACTAGCAAATAGTTGGGTTTTTGCCATGAAACATTTCCTGTGGATGGACCTTTTTCCTGCAACAGTTGGTAGATGATGAACGATCCCATGATTTCATCCACAATGGCATTAGAAATTGGGGCTAAGCTGCTTGGGCCAAGGGCACAAACTAAGTATCTGTCCTAAGTATCTGAAAAAGTTAAGTTGATATTGATAAAAACAAATGAAATA